TTGATAACAAGTTAGAGTTAATGTTGGGTTAGGGGAGGGGTAGATGGGCAGTTGCCCAGGTACTGATATTGATCCAAAACTTTTAAGCTCCACAATTATTACACACCTGTACTTAGCCCTTTACACCCTAACATCAGTATACATATTCTCCCTACTAATCTCTATATATTTCCTAGGGTGCTGACAACGAGACTTTGTTTATTCAGTCGAGCTTCTTTAGTTGGTGATAATTTCCTTTATTCTTGTGACCTTAGTGCTTGATTAAGGGATGATACTGTTAGGAGAAATTAGATGCTCGTCACTCTCTCAAGGGTTTATGTTTGCAATTTATAATTTATTGAGTACCTTGTCGAATAAGCTCCATACAGATTCCTTTAGCTTTCTCAATTTCTCCTCTAGCCCACAGAATATTAGCTTGACCCATGGTTTTCTTTAATTTTGGAGGTAACTCGTACAATTTACGACGTCCAGCTCTTCGCCGTTTTTGGACAGGAATCTCCTCCATGAATTCATCAACACCAGTACCACCATGTTTCTTGGCACTTTTTGCTGCAGCTCCTTGAAGCAAAAGATCTGTCATTCGAACTGATGGCTGGGATGCCGTCTGTGACTCTATATTGCATTCATTTGGATCACTATCAGGAACATGATGTGGTTCACCTGGGAGATCTGTGGTTGGTGCTTCTGTGGATCCAATTTCTGCCAATTTTGCAAACATTGGCTCTGATACGAGAACAGTGATCATATCTGAAAAACAAAACCAGGCATGCTGCTTTGTGTAGTATACATGAACTTCCCTCACAGCAGGTCATCACCTGACCTAAGTTTTCACAGTACATCATAGCTGTAGCCTCAAGGTAAACTTTTGCTTTCACCATTGTTTACATTTATCAAACAACTACATGTACAAGGAAGTTTTTATTTTTTTTATTTATTACAATTTAATGGCACATATAACTTACTACTTACTTACATACTTACATTAATAGATAATAATACAAAAGAGTAAAAGGAAAGGTGCCATAAGGATGGTCCGCAAAAGAGATAAATCCCCATGCACGGCAGACCACCTTTAACAAAAAAAAAAACAAATCCAAACTAAAATCAATCAAATCTTGCAGTCAAGTAATCCCTTACACCCCTTTTAAAACAAGAAACACTTGGAGCCTGACGGACCGATAGTGGCAGCCCATTCCACATGTGGACAATCCTATTAAAATAGCAAAACTTAAAAGTATTAGTCCTCGCGTAGTTCTTTTTTAATTTAAGTTCGTCCTTACCCCTCAACGAGTATCTTTCCGAATGCGAATAAAATTGGATATAAGAGGATATATCTATATTAATATACCCATTAAGAACTCTATAAAAAAATAGTACATCAAAAAAGAAGCGTCTGTCCTCTAGAGATAACAGGTTCAGTTGTTCTTTACGAGTGTTGTAATCATCATCAGTTTTTAGAATAAACTTGGTGGCTCTTCGCTGAATCCTTTCCAATCTGTTAATGTTTCTAGCCGTGAAGGGTGACCAGACAATAGTACAGTATTCCAATTGGGACCTTACCAAAGCACAGTACAACCTTCTTAACGTGTTAACATCTTTCATACCCTTGCATGTCCTTTTAATAAGGCCAAGAATCTTGTTAGCCTTGCTTGATATCTTATCAACATGAGCATTCCAGGACAACTTGTTACTAGTAACTAATCCAAGATCACAGAATTCAGATGTTTCTTCCAGAGAGCTCTCATTCAGCTTAAGGTCAGAACGAAAAGGCATACTTTTTTTCGTGATACGCATCAGTTTGCATTTCTTTACATTAAAATCCATTAGATTTCGCTGACTCCAGATGTGTAGATTATTCAGGTCAGATTGAAAATCATGTTGGTCTGATGTACAGTTTATCAGTCTTGATGTTTTACAATCATCTGCGTACAGTGCGATTGTGTTTCCAGGCATAACCACATTAGGCAAATCACTAATGAATATTACAAAAAATAATGGCCCTAGTAGGGAGCCCTGTGGTACACCGGATGGGATGACAGACCAGGCAGAACTCTGTCCCTCAATAACAACCCTTTGCTCTCTGTGGGTCAAATAATCCTCGCACCATCTTAGTAGGCTACCAGAGATGCCGAAATTACACAACTTCAGAAGGAGTATATCGTGTGATACTCTGTCAAATGCCTTAGAAAAATCTAAGAACACAACATCCACCTGTAGTCCATCATCCAAGGCCTTTGTCCACTGATGGTGTGTTAATACCAACTGGGTAGCACACGAGCGACCCCTTATGAAACCATGTTGCCAATCTGTCAGGTAAGGGGCCACATGAGGATATATGGCATTATATACAATCTTCTCTTGGCATTTACTTGGAATCGATAACAGGGATATAGATCGATAATTCTCTACCACATCTTTAGCATCTGATTTAAACACAGGAGTGACATTAGCTCTTTTCCATGAAGAAGGAACTCTCCCACACCTGAACGACAAATTAAACAGTAGAACCAATGGGTAAGATAGCTCCTCTGCACAGTCCCTCAATATCCTCGCAGGAATGCCGTCTACTCCAGTTGCTTTATTAATGTCTAAGTTGCAGAGGATATTCTTTACTTCACTGTACGAAGTGAATATATCCATCAATAAGTTAGGGTTGATCACATCAACATGAGAGCTGTCAGAGTTTGATGTTTTTGTAGAGAACACGGAGCTGAAGAATTCATTGAACAGGGAAGCTTTTTCCACAGGATCTTTAGCAGACCTGGCTTTGCCAGAGTAAGTTATTACTTCTGGCAGTCTCTTGCTCTTGGATTTAAGAGAATGAAAAGACCAAAACTTCCTTGGATTAGTCTTCAGCTTATCCGATAGAGACTTTAAGTACTGGAAATACTTAAAGGAGATAAGACGTTTGGTCTGTTTCCTAAGAAATTTAAACTTTGTTGTCACCTCAAGAGAAGCATTGGCCCTTAAACGCTTCCACAAGACTTTCTTTTTCCTCACTAACTTTAAGACCTCTTTATCTATCCATGGAGGTCTTGGCTTGCGTCTAAGCTTCATCTTTGGTACATGTTGATTGACTGAGAACAAGATCTTGGAAATTCGCCGTACCTGAGTCAATGTCCTCACAAGATATATAGGAATCCCATAAAATGTGAGAGAATGTATTTCTTAGACCATCAATGTCAGCTTTATCATATCGGTAAACTAATCTTTGACTGTTTTTGGGCCTGTTGAACTTTTTCTTGATCGCGAAACAGACTGGGAAATGGTCTGAATCAAATCCATTTGGGTGCACAGTAGTTCCTTCGATGAGTGATTCATGATTCGTCAACACAAGGTCTAAGATGTTACCAGATGATAAGGTATTAGTGGCACTGGGACGGGTGATATATGGGTTTGTTTGGGTGAGAAAATGGTCATCCAGGATTTCACAAAAAGTTTCAGTCAAATTGTCTAAACTAGTTGGTGATCCAGTAGACCAATCGACACAGGGAAAATTAAAATCGCCAGTGATAATTAAATCAGCGATTCCTGTACCAGAAGCTTTATTGAGAAATCTCCTGAATTCATCCAAGAACGTCTCTTCGACGTCTGGTGGTCTGTAAAAAACTGCAAATAATAGACATCGTGTATTACTGGTCTTTAATTCACAGGCTAGCATCTCCGCATTTACCTCAAGATCGTGTCTCCGTACACATGGCAGGTGTGATTTAGTTGCGAGCAACACTCCTCCACCACGCTTACCACGTCTATCCCGACGATGGATACTATAACCCTCAAGATGTAGATCACGGTCATCAAATTCATTGTCTAACCAAGTCTCCGTCAAGGCAACAATGTCAAAGGAGTCCATTAATAACAGAGCATTTAGGTCGTTGATCTTGTTTCGAATACTCCTCGTATTTAATAGTAAGCACTTAGAGAAGCCATTAGCAGAGCGAGGAGAAGATTCCGCAGAGACATCAGAGCTTAAGCTTACATTCTGCCCAGTTGAGAAGGACGATTCAAAGAATGAATCAGTGAAGTTAAAAGGCCACCCACAATTTTTGTCACAGAACCACTGCTCATCAGAAGACCCCAAGTCAATATAAGCCTGTAGATCCATGGTAATGCACTTTAGGTGGAACCATTTGTTACAACCATCGCAGAGAATCCCTTTCTGATTGGAGCGAACCGGCTTCGTACATACATCACAAGGGCACTTCCAAAGAGGTTTTTTGCGAGTTGTGGATAATCCCGGAGATAATGACTGTCCTGGTCCAGGGTTTATTTCGATGTCTCCACATTGTACCAATCTTGAGATATTAAATGTAGAAACAGAATTGGGATATCGAGTTAGGTCTGTGGCGTTATGAAGAAATCTTTCCCCTGAAATCTTTTCCCCTTTCCCCTCGTCCGTCTGTGGCGTTATGAAGAAATCTTTCCCCTAACCTCTGAATAACTTCAACATTGATTCCTACTAAGACCTCTTATGACAGTAAAATACAGGGCATAAGTTGATGGGGGGTGGGGGGGAGGGGAGCTTGGGTGCTATGGCCCGCACTCTCCCTCACCCCACCTCACTGGGTCTATCTGCTCATGATCGCGTGGGGCATTACATCAAAGGACCGTAAAAAAGAGTGTTATTTTCAATAATAAATACAAATTAAAATAAAATAACTTGCCAGTAGTTTCGCCTTTGTTTTCACTCTCCACTGCTCGTCCTTGGCTTTCTTCCTCTCGTCCGACCTCCTCGACATCTTGTAGGCCGATATCCTCTGTCTCTGCCTCGCCCGATCCACCTCCTCCTATTTCAATCCACTGCTCAAAGCTTATTTCTCCACGTACATATTTCATAAGAGCAGCAATTCGTTCGTCTTCCATTTTAGTTGGGAAGATCAGCACATATCATGCCAAATCGTCTAATAATTTATTTCCTTCCAGTACGTCCTCCATCTTTGGCCTGGATACCAAGCTTGTCATCCGGGAGTTCGTGTGTAACGTAAAGGCCTTTGGGATAGTATGCTTCACCTGCCTCACACTCGCTTAGTTTGAACGGAAGGTTTTGTTTGGATTACTTTTGGAGTACTTGCATTTCGCTTCCAAATGACTCGAGTTTACGTCGGAAATCTGGGAAATAAGGGTTCCAGGCGAGAACTCGAACGTGAGTTTGAGAGATACGGGCCTCTTCGCGACGTATGGGTCGCTCGAAATCCTCCAGGCTTTGCTTTCATTCTGTATGAAGACTCACGGGATGCTGACGACGCGATCCGTGAAATGGATGGAAAGTTAGTATGTGGAGAACGGATTCGTGTAGAACTTGCTCGAGGTCCTAGTCGTGGCGGAAGAGCTGCTCGGCTTGGACTGACGGAGAAATGCTTTGATTGTGGAAGGGTTGGACATTACGCTCGGGTTTGTACACGTCGACCGCCCGGCGGAAGTCGAGACCGCGATCGAGAGCGGCGGCGCTCCAGATCACGCAGTCCACGGTAAGTTAATACCCACAAGAGGTTGTTCGTTCATCCATGAAGTAATCGAAATCTTGTCCATATGACCTGTATTCACGTATAAAGTGGAACTTAAGAGTAACTTCTATGCTGAAGCAAAGGCAACCATAGGCAAGCTAAGTGAGCTGATTTCATTTTCAATCTTTAATCGACGTACATTTTTTTTTCCTCCGAAAGTAGAACTGATTTCGAGAAAGTCTCAGGTCTGAAGTCTATTCTTTTCGATCAGAGTCCCTCGAAGCAACCCAAAGTTTAGTGTACCCAAAGATGTAAGCTTTTTTTCATTAAATCATCTGTATCACATATCAAAATATTTGTAGATAGCATGTGACAAGTTGGAAATATCTCCCACAAGACACTGTTAACTAATAATACAGAGTTTTGTTGTTTCATATATCAGGATTATGTAAATATTGCGTCAGTTGTGAAATCAACTGGCATGCGGTGTGCGTCGCCTACACCTTCAGAGGTGATTCTACCCACCCTGAGAGTGCTTCTTCTACTCTACTCTCCCCTGCGGCATCCACGAGCGTCATGCGTTCAACCATCTTCTCCGACTACAAGCTTTATGCTTTTAGCCTCTACCCACGAGCGTGCAGGTTTAAACAAATCACTTCCCTTGTGACAAACTTAGTGCGCACTTCACAGCGTCACTTCTGTTACTTTTGTCAGTAAGTACAAACTTTTCCACAGTAGCGTGATTCATGCATCTCAGTCTTATTACAGATGGGCAAAGGAAAAATGCTGAGAAATGCAAATTGTCTAAGATCTGTAGTCTAAGCAATGGATAACAGTTTAAAATTAATTTGGTTTCTTAATACTTAACCTTTTTACCTCTAAGACTGACTAGCATTTAATTTCTCCTCACAATATCACCCCTGAATCAAACATTAAGGTCAGGAGAATAAAGGAATTGATCAGCCAACTAAAGAAGCTCTTGAAGTAAGACAAACTCTCCTGTTCAGCACATTAGAAAATGTTTAGAGAAAAGCAAAGAGATTATTTATGTGAGGGTGAAAAGTGGAGAGGTAATTCAGGTGATACTGATGCCTTCCAGGAACAGAGGCTTAACTCACTAATGCAGTTGTGTTAACTGATCCCTTTGTTTTTCTTTTTAAATGCAACTACCGGTAGTCATGTTAATTGCCTGTGCTTGCAACAGGGTATTTAATTGTGTGTGAGTTTGCCAAAAGATTCGGGACTGCAGGGTCCAAAACTAACTTTTTCATGTGAGTGTGTAGTAGCCATTAAACTTCTCTGTTTTGATTGCCAGACGGAACAATTTGGTAGCCAAAAAAGTCATTTTTGCGAAATTTTCACCTTCCAGCTCCAACAAACATTTAAAGTTTCCCAAATTTTCCTTATTGACCTAAAATACATTTTTAGTCATGAATGAGGGGTTGTCAGTTGAGTGTATAAAAGCACAGTAAGAGAAAATGGCAAATGTGTTATTTCTTGACATTTGTTTGCATGATGCCTGCTGGCATCAAGCATTGAAATTCTGGTTGTGTATAACCAATTTTCAGTCACATTGGTGATCATTTAATTGCAATTTCTGACCCTGTCTCTCACAATAAAAGAAACACAAAATAATAATTTTATAAACTGTTAATTAGATTGTGTGATCCTTTGCCTTCTGTCAGCTGTCGTCTCTGACATGTTTATTTTAACTACTGATGTTTCGACTTTGATAAATGTGATGGTTTTCTCCTTGAGTTTCTGCTAAAATTAAAGGTAGTCTTCAGCTTTAATTTTTTTTTAAACCTTACAGATTAAAATTCAATACTTGTGAAAGTTTAGACTTTATGTTAATTACCTGTTTGTGGTCATAAAATTTGATGCCAATGTATGGCTGTAAAGTAAAGATGAGATTCATTCACGGATCATTTCCTTTAAAATGTAAACTGATTATTCTAGCATTGTAGATGAAGCAACCTTTTTTCTGTAATGTGTTTCTTTTTGGCTAATAATTAGGGCAAACTAACCACCTAAACATACAGGTGATTGTAAGTTTTTAAAATCTTCTCTTGAGCTTAAAATAGAACTATGAAAAAAGCAGGAATTTTCTTGTGTTGTTGGAGTTGTTCCAAAATAAAATACATTGATATTTTGTTAAATGAATGAGAAAAAATATTTTTCCTCCTTAAAATGACATTTTTGGCATAAGATGAAGTATTAAAGGTTTTATTAATGCAAGAAATGTCGATTCTTTCCTGGGATATGAGGTGTTTTTTTCAGTTGTAATATCCTGTAAGTAAGCAGAATAAATGCAAAAACCTCTCTTTTTCTAGATTAGACTAAATCTGGAATTATCTGAAAAAATTTGAGACCCAGGAATAACCCTAGCTTAGAGCAATTTTTTTTTCTTTCATGTTGTAAATATTTCTGGTTTTCAGTGACCTTTCATTTATTTGTCTCCGGAAGCTCATTTTTTAAAAATCTGTTTTCTTTTGAAAATAATCAATTGAATGTTTAACTAATTACATTCATTTGCAATTTAATTCTTTAGATCCCGTTCCCGTTCTCGTTCACCCAAACGAAGACGCAGTCACAGTCGATCTCAGTCTCCAAGGTTAGATAAGTTTGTGAAGTAGAAAGTACTGTAGACCTTTCAAAGGTTGTGTTCATTGCAACACCTCAACATTGCTAAGAAATTTAATTTTACATTCTTGTAAAATAAAGCAAAATTGGTTCATACCATAATGCTTTGTTACAGTACATTATTTCTCAGTGAGTACAGGTGTACATGCATTTTGATTGGTCATTTTAGTGGACCGTATTTCACTGTAAAGCCTGCTAAATTCAAAATTTTATTTGAGATATAATAAATATCTTACTAACCTTATTTTTTTTGGTCTGTACTGTAAGTTATGGAACCTTGGTTTTTTTTTCAGTTGAATTTGTGGCACTGTTGCACTTAGGGCATAAACTTATGTGCAAATAGTTTAGTCTACAACTTACAGTATGGACCTTGAGCTTGAAAGAGGCACCATCATTTTGTCTCCCTTTTTTTGCCCATGTTTCAGGAGGAGACGCTCTGCATCAAATGAAGACAGAAAATCGAAATCTCACTCAAAATCTCACAGTAAGAGCCGTTCACGCAGTCGAAGTGAAGAGAAAATCACTAGAGAAAGGTGAGGGTGAATCCTTTTCATGAAACTTTTCTGTGTTGTACAGCAGCCCCTGGTTGTTTGGAGGGTGGTTAACACTATTCAGTGATAAATCTCTTTCCAGTGGATGGCAAAGTATAATTATTTTTCCTCACCTATCCACTGGTTAGCAATCCATCTTGTCTGTATTTTGGGTTTGCATTATCTACCCTGTGATCAACAAGGCCCAGAGTGTTAATTTGACTTGTGCTACTGTATGTGGCTTGTATTTCACAATGATGTACATGAAGGTTTGAAGAGTTACTATTGTAAATGCAAAAAGTCTTCTTTCTGGGGTAAACTTGTTTAGGGTCAGAAAGGTTATTGAGCTGTTTTTAATTTTAGAAGTGCAAGTCCTGGTCCTGACAGAAAGCAAGAGCAAGAGAAAGAAGACTATAAAAGAAGGGAAGAAACAGGGAGACAAGCTGAAGAAGACAGGCCAAGGGCAGAGGAGGAGAGGGAGCAAAAGTCTCGCAGTGCCTCACCTAGGCCAAATGACACTGACAGCCACTTTAATGATGACAACGTGGAATAACAGTGTGGCTTCTCTCACTTACAGTGTTGTCCAGTTATTTCAGTATTTGTAGATATTCTTCTAAAGTCTGTAGCTTTTAATCAAGAAATTGCTTGAAGATTCAGCTGTAGCTATGGTTTTCCTTGTCTAGATTAGCTAGTTGGTGAATATTGAAGGAATTCTGGGTCAAAATGTAGCTGTTGGATTGGGCGGGGTGCAAGTGGGTCCATGTTGTGGTAACAGGTCAGGCTGTTTGGTGTGAGGCAGGCCCTTTTGTCACCTTAGATTCTTTGATAACCTAAGGCTGGTATGGTGGTGTTACAGGAACCCACCCACTTGATACTCAGGATTCACAAAACAAATATAGTTAATTATCTCCAAATTTTTTTTATCATTAGAAGTAGTAATGGTATCACTTGCATCGTTCTTTATTACATACTTTTTCTGTTACCTGTCTACAGTGTTTATTATGGTTAGTATATTGTGTGAGTTTGTAGGCGGGGAAAAATTAAGACCCATTTGAAATCTATGCAAATTAAGTCAAACCACCAAATTCAATTGTTAATGTCATTGGAAATTTAGTACTGTTATAAAATACCTGAGTTTTACTTCTATTGCTTGTGTGTGCCTTTGTAGCAGTTTATTGTCTCATAACTAATTACTTGTTTAATGAAATGGGGTTCCTTTGGTTTCCATTGCAAGTTGCCAGCTGCTCAGGCACTTACAATTTTGAAGGGATACATTGTTTTCCAGGGGTTTCAAAATGTTTGTAAGTAGGTGTCCATGAAAAGTCCATTGAAAGGTAATTATTTTGACCAGAGTAACCAGCGACATGTTGGTGAGTAGCCAGCAGAATTCTGGTGGTCACTGGCTTGTTTTGGAACCCCTGGTTTTTTCCTCATTACCTGTACAGTATTTATAATCTTTTAACAGCACTTTTTGGGGAACAAAATTGCTTTCAGTAAAGTATTTTGATTTCACTGAGATGGTTCTTTTTCCACTTTCTTATTGTTTTACACTTGCTTATTAGCTTAGGCATATCTTTGCAATGAAGTCAGTTGTTGCACTCCATATTTTGGGGCAGCATCAGTATCTTTCTTCTCCATACTGTTCTACATACGTTTCCTTTAACACAGGCCAGGGGAATTTATTTGATACTCAATCTTTTAGTTGGTGATCATTTCTTTTATTCTCATCACCTTAATGCTTAATTTGGCATTGGTACAGGACAAATAAGATTTTGGTCACTCGTGGGAGTTAGGGCTAAAAACTTATGCTTTTAGTACATCTATACTTGCACACTTTGTGATTAAATTACTTCATGTTCAGCTAACGTGTTGCTGTTAGGGGGCTGTCGTCATTAGAATTCATGGAATCAATGAACCCCAAGCGTGTAGAGGGTGAGGACAGCTAGATTACAACACCGTATTCTTTGTCCACACCGCATGTGTCTCAAATGCCCGACAGCCCTAGCAACACCACTTCTGTTCACTGTCAATGTAAGTGGCAACCACAAGTTTCATACAGAACCAACTGAGCAGTGACCAAATGCTGAAATGAAAAGGAAATTTCCATTTATTCCATGTGCAACAGAATGCCTACTAACTTGTGACCAACAGTTGTGAAGAAAACAACTTTCGGTGGGGCACGTGTTGATCACAAGATTTAGGAGCGAGAAGGGAGAGAGAGGACCCTGGAAACGAGATTGTGAATGCACATGACCTCATCAAATTTGCCACTGACAGAAACCGAAATGCTGCTTGACGTGTTCTTGAAAGTACCTGAATCGACTTTGGTGTCAAGTTAGAGTGAAAATGTAAGAAGTTTTTGTTAGCGTCCCATTAATTTTGCTGCTATAAAACAGTTCACTTGATTATTGCCCAAAGTACGTAGTCGGCTGACTTAGCCACTACGATAAGCGCAACAAACGCATTTTACTAATTTCTTTCACACTCAGTTCAGTCGATCATTCAGTTTGATCTATTACGACCACCGCTGCAGTCTCGTTACAAGCGAGGCATTGAATAACATTCTAAAAATAGTTTTCTTTGGAAACCGAAATTCCCAAAAATGTATATCAGTTTTGGAGAGTTTGCAAAAAGAAGATTGTAAACCCGACGCGTACCAGGAAATTGGATTTAATTCTCTCACTGAAATGGACGCCACGAAAGAAGACGAAAAAGCCAAAGAGCTAAATTCATTGTTCGAGTCTATTGGGCAGCAATGGCAAGACGCGTATGAGGGACTGAAGAGAAATAGGGCCGAGTACAATTGTCTTTTAGATCATATATCGGAAGTTTTGAGCAAAGTTAATCCGGAAAGTCAAATCACGCTTCGTCCTTATGGAAGCGCCGCTGAAGATTTAAAGTGTCTGGAACCCAACGATATTGGCGATGTGGACATCATGGCCTTTCCGACTTCTGAGGACTTCATAATTCCCGAGAATTTTCTCGAATATTCCCCTGACAATCCACTGCATGTGAGAATCAAAGTTGGCGACCGTCCCGTATTTCAATCCTGTCTTTATGATGGTACACAGTACTTAGCCACCTCTGCCATTAGAAAGTTCCATAAAGATATTTATGGGAGTTCACTGCCTGATTTAGTTGAACGTTTGACACGCACATTTTCCGCACTGCCTCTTGGGAAGCTTTCACCCTTGGAACATGTCAACACCTACCTAAAGAACAAGACCTCGAGTCCAGCTGTCACTATCGATTTTTCTCAGAGGTTTGGCACTATTTTCAACGACCAGACAACCCTCGATACCCAAGATTATTTGTCTCTGGAAGGGTCTCTGAAGGCAGCTGACTGGGATTTGATGGCTCATGTAATCTGCATGGGGAGAGGAATCGAGTACACAAGGAAACACGCCGAAGTAGTGAGCGACTTTGTGCAATCTCTGAGTGATTTGATAAAAGAACAGCAAAAGAATGGTCTGTCCTTTTCATCTGTTTTTCAAGAGCTTTATTTGAGCAATAGAGCGGAAGGGCTTGCGAATAGATTTCGAGAGATTGAAGCTCCCTCGCTAGTTGAGAAGATAGGGATCTTCTTGCAAGTGCCTGCAGAAGAAAGAAAAGAGGAACAATTTGTTTCTCCAGAACAAAAACAAGACAGTGTGTGCGAAACCTCAAGTGCCATGCTTCATACGAAATACGAGGGTGGACGCTCAAATGGAGACGTCTCTTCTACATCGAGCCATTCCACATCGGTTAACGTTATACCTGCGCAAGAAGCCGAAAGGAAAGATGAAGACAGAATTGGAGACAATCGTAATGAAGAGCGCAGTGAGGCGAAGGAAACTCATGCACCAAAGAAAAAGAAGACCTCTGAGGCAGAAACTAAGACGACCGAGTCTCTAAGGAAACTGTATAATGACTGTATTCAACATTTGTTGTTAGCAGAGACGGATGAAACGACAGGAAATGCCCCACACGGGACGGAACCATCCAACAACGTTACAAGAACGAATTCCTATCATCAGGCATCCGGAATAGATTTTGTTCCCGCATTGCGATCTCATGGATGGCCGAAGGTAGCTCAAGATTGGCTCAAACAAGAGCGCAAATGGCCTTCCCCAAAAATGGTCGAAAGGGTTTTTCAGGAAGGAGTCCATTTGGTGGTAAAGCCGCCAAAGAAAAATGGAAATCCTGATTGCGATTTTAGAATCTCGTTTTCTCACGCAGAGTACCTCCTGAGTCAAGACATGAACGACATCCAACGAGAGTGCTACCGATGTTTAAAGAAATTTTACCGTGCTTATCTTTCCAATGCGGAAGGTTTGGAGTCATTCCACCTCAAGAACCTCTTTTTACAAACAATAGAGGAGACTGGGGCCGAGATGTGGACCGAGAGAAGACGGGCCGAGTGTATGACGAAACTACTCGGGAAGCTGTTGAAAGCTTTGAAAGACAAGGATTTGCGACATTTCTTCGTGAGATCGTACAACCTGTTTGGAGTAGACTACATTGAAGACCCAAAGATTCTCGAGTCCCTCGCCGAGATGGTTGAGAAGATTATGGAAAATCCTGAGGAACTGGCAACGGAAATAATAAAGAATGGAGAAGAAGAGCTGAAGAAAGCGTGCAGTTCACTAGAGAAAAACCATGGACAGTTTGGTGATGCCGCTGTGGAACATCCACCCAAAAGCAACAATCACACCGAGAGGAAGGAAGCTACTGATGATGCAAGTGAAGGATATCGATATCACGATCTGAAAGATATCTACCTGAAGATCAGTGATGAGATGATAAACATCGCTTACAGCGATACGGACTGCAATGTTGAAACCTTAGAACCCCTGGAGAGGTCCGTCGTGGAACGCTTGAAAGAAGTCAGGCAGAGTTACCCCAATATCGATGCTCAAGACGTTCTCAAAATATTCGACTTTTTTTGGAACTTAACCTATTTCAAAGTTTGGATAAGCTCGGAGCCTAACTTGAGGCGTCGTATGCTTGATGCAATTCGTGATGATGTTGAAAGTTGGAGGGGCACGATGGACGCCAAGGAAGACTTCCCTTCATCAGGGGATAGAGCAGCTCCACCAGCCATGATGCAATTTGCCAATTTCTTGGACTATAGGAATGTTTTGCCAGCTGGAGCAGTGACACAGTGCTTTAGTAAATTTTTTGCCAACAACTTTAGACAAATTAAGCAACCAGCGGTTGATATAGACGAACTTTCATTGGACTAAATTAGCGCCACTTAGTAAGCTTCTGTAACCGAAACAGTATCTCATTGCAGAGTGGAATGTTGGTTTCCGCATGTTTACCTCAAGGGCATTTTGTTTTAGTTAAGGGACTTACCCACAGTTGGCGCACTCTCTTAAGTAAACATATGGCTTAGAACAAGAAACACTGCCTAGGTAATGTACCTAAGAATTTCCTTAGAATTGGCATTGCAAATTATCTAATCGCCAAGTTTTTTTTTTTTTGTAGACATGACATATTTTTGTTGTTAGAGAATCGAAACCAGAGGAAAGCACCGTGTAAAAGGCTCATTTATTTTATGTCATAATAATTAAAATAATATTATTATCAGATTTATTTTTTCTTTTTCTTGCCGCTTTTGAGTAAGTCAAGTCCATTGATGTACTTCTTAGGAATCTTGTATTCATCTACAAAAGGGCGGAAAATAAACTTTAAGTTTGTTAGATATTATGCATAAATTTTGCTCTCCAAATACAACCCGCATTTGCCAGAGAATATTCTGAAGAAAAACCGTAATTCTGCCAATAAATTCCATTGTCCTAGTTAGCAGCATCTATCAATAAGAACATTTTTCATGAGGTGACTACCCTTGGTATAGCACTTTTTTCCTCAATACCCCACGCACATTTGTTGGATTTCAAGAATACAGCTAGATTTCTCCTCTGTTGTATAAACGACCAAACACTAACCTAGTAGAAATTTCGCCACGATGTCCACTTGGTTTCCTTGCACTAAAACCTGCAATCCAGGCGTAGTATGTTTCCCCGGAAGCTGAGAAACTATAAGGAAAATAAGGAATTGTTACAGGCACGAGATGTGTGAATATTTTAGTATTGTGTCCATAGGATGGAAAAAATAAGACCCTCGATATAAACACGTTTATTACCTGAAGTACTAGATGCAGCCTTAATTTGCACATTGTGAGCAAATTCTTGCGGATCAATCCCGTAGGATTCAAGATTACGGATCAATGTAACCTAAAATTAAAATAACAAGCTGTTATTGAAGCCATATTTAATTTCATTGGCAAAAGAAAGATTGTAACAGAACTCGAATACAACATAAGGTTACTTTTCTACACGAGTGTTGCTCAATTCTCGTATTGTCTCACTAACTTCTACCTCGTGAACGAGGATTGGGAATCCCTCTGAGAGAGTACGCCAGACTTAAACATCATGAGTTTGTAAGCGGGGTTTTGAGCGCGTTGCTCAAAGTGTTTATTTGCTTAATACTTTTGAGAGGTGTCTGACGAGTCCTTGGCCAAGAGAAACCATTTCATGTCAGCGATGTCAATTCCTCTGTTAAATACCTTTTTGTTGCCCATTCTTTGTTCCACTTTAATTTCGATAGATTCGATTTTCCCTTTCCTGTTTGGATAAAAATAAAAAAAGCGAGGATGAAATCACTGACTAACAAAACACGTTACTAAAAACACCCGAAAGGGGGGGGTTTCATATAATGGGTCACTCAGGAATATTGCTACTCCACCCTGGATGCGAGACGCGGTGGCCTACTGGTAAGTGCGCTGGACTAGAAAGCGAGAAGTCCGGGCTCAAGACCTGGCCTTGTCATCATCCTTTGTCTTTGAGCATAACACTTAACATTCTTTTTGCCTCTCCCCACCCAGGAGTACAAATGGGCACCGGCGAATTGTCAGGGAAGCCTGATGAAACGCAGAGGGGTTAACCTTGTGATAGACTGGCTTCTCGTCCAGGGAGAAGGGAAGTAGAAATACTCCTTGTCGCCTCATATTATGGAAATCGGGATAAGCTCCGGCTAGATGTGCCACCTGGCTTGAGCACAGACTTAAATAACCTTACCTACACACTAACCCTGGATCTGATCTTAATCGAGCGCTCCTTATTTTGAAATCGGTTGTAGTGGAGTCTGGGGAACATGGTACAAAGGGCGAAATCGTGTGATTGCAAATTAAAAGTAAATCAAAATACCCGCATAAGAGGAGAATGTTTGGAGAAGAGTCCTCCCGAATACCGATGCTGAAAATGTTTTAGCGAGTCAATGAAGATTTTAAAAAAGCCAGTCTTACTTCTTACTCTCTTATATTGATCAGATACACTGGGAAGAACACAACTTCTATATATATCTGGCTACAAAAATACAGGTTTCACTTCACCTGACTATTGACTCCTGGCCTGGAAGTGTTATTCGATGACAGTTATTCATTTTCGACGACACTCTGTTGGGGCAAAGGAAAAGGCAACTATTGAAAAGACTGAAAAACTAATCTTGGAAACGAACCAAATGACTTAATTGCGTAGTGAGAGGACAAGAGAATTATTTCCCAAGCACATTTACATTGTATCAAGGACCTACCGAAGAGTTAATTTATATTCGATCTAGTGTGCTAAATTTCTTCCGATCCGATGAGGTATTGTGAGTAGCGAGACCGCAGTAAATATAAAAAAAAGTTGTGTTAAAGTGCCTTCCAAAGGATATTCGTTTCTTTGGTGTTTCGTTCGACCAACAACTTTGCACATCGAGTTTGGATAAAGTTAGAGAGAGGGAGAGGAAGAGAAAGGAAATTAGTTTTGTTGATAAAAACGTCTCCGAAAGAGAAGGGAAATGATTTTTATTAACCAAGAATTCACAGTACAGACACTCATCGACTTTTTGTCATGAACTGAAAATAACTTGATCAGGAATCAACGTATCCTAGCTGACGCCCTGATTGCTGTGTGACAAACTCCTTTTTTCGAACTACCATCAAATATTGTAAAACTCTCTTTAAAACGTCATTCAGTTACCACTGTATAAACTAAGATAATCGCATAACGTGAAAACATGCAAACAGGGCTGATGGGGAACAACAACTCACAATGCAAACACAAAGATGTATAAGCACCTTTCGAAGAGCCGATCCCATGGAAGAACTTCAATATTCTCGTTTTTGTTCAGGAGGATTTTAGTCAGGCTGGGATCTAGTACAACCACTCTGAGAAAAAAAAATCTTGAAGTTATAAGAAACGTGGGCAATAATTTTATAATTCTACATCGGTAGATTGATACAGTTCATTTGCGAACCAGACATCGATTAGATATTGGACTGAGAATTTTTAGTGATGTCATGTAAGCGTTCATAGTTGGCAATTTTGAATTTCACGTCAGCGTTTGTGAAAAAGATAAAAGAAAGGATATGTATATTACTACTCGTCTGGTAGTTTTATGTCCGTAAATACTATCAATTGACATCCATAGTTCTGTTGTATTGCACTTTCCTTGCAAGGCTTCATACAGTTACAAGGCACGATTCTAGAACGTTGGATTCTTCACACTCTGTCAGCCCTTTCTTCTTATAAGTCAAATAATTAGTCAATTTGACATTGGTGCGTGTACGAATTTCGACCGAAAATCACGTCTCATTTGACCCAGACGCTTACACCCGAAAAGATGAACATTGAGTACTGCATCAATTAATTCTGTTCGGGTTATTACCAGCGATTCTGTCCAGTTCTTTAAAACTGCGCTAGTATAGTGAATGTTGCCAAAGGGTAGGGATGGGAGACATTTTGTGGTACATACCTTTTGTCCTCATTTGACATAAGGTTGTGAGCTTTCACGTAATTCGTCATGGTCGTCCGGACACCAGCATGATTTAAAACATCATTTTTCCTGAAACAAAAGATAGGTAAGGAATGATTTAATACCAGATAATTTTCTGACACAACGATGAAATTTGTAAGACCTTCCTCTTTCAGTGGGTTTGTGTCATATTCATAGAAAATTGGTGGAAGTTTTCTATCTTGCTTTTGTGCTAAGGATTGTCATGGAAAGCTTCAGACAGCTTGTGATTTGAAAGCCGTCTGATACGACAGAAAACAGACAAATCTCTATGGAATAAAATTACAATCGAAGAAACTAAGCTGGTGCATGTTGAATAAAGACCTAAGAACCGATACAAACACATTACACCAGCAGTTTTCGTACCATCTTATTCTTTGAATACAGCTCGTTGTCTCATGTCTTACCTGAATCCAAATTCGGAAAATATCGGTAACAATGCTGCAGATACGGAAAACAGCTCTTCGATACATGGAGGCTATAAAGAAGAGCATAACGATCAGTTAATCGACTTGACATATAAGGCTCCGTCCAAGGAACACTTCTTTCTGTAACGCCACAAACCAGGGGAACAAAAGACTCCTGGGTCCAGCAACTTTCAACTGAATACCAAAAGGAATTCAGGGATTGTACTTGTTTCACTAACTACGCCTTATGATTAGTCCAGAAAACTTGTGCCAGTCTCTCGACCAATCATATGCTAGATTATAGCCAATCGCGACTGGGTCACTCGCGTTTTCCCGCGCTTGCAACCGTTTGCTTGTGGTTACTACTGTCTCGTGACATTTTTTCTTTGCTCTGATTGGCCATTGTGATTACTTTGGTTGCGTTCAACCGCACTCAAACAAAAAGCGCTCTCTATTACGATTTGTAACATTCTGTCAACCGCATCACTTTGAGTTTGGTTGTACATCACGTAATCGAAAACTATTACAAAGCATTCTAAATGTATTCTTACCGAGCAGAGGGCAATTCTTTTTTAATATAATTAATGGAAATTTTCAGTCGAGTGTCGAAGGTAATTCTGGCTTGCCTTGGTTTTCCTCAACTTCGCTTTGTGATTGGTAAAGAAAACTCGCGTCATCCTCTCAACCAATCAGATGCAAAGCTTAAGACAATTGCGACTTTGTTATTGGCGTTTTCCCGCGCTTCAAGAGGTTTGTTAGTTCTAACTTTGAGTCCTCATTGGTTAGTGTTGATGTTAATCTTTGTTTTGATTTGTCACTGGTCTAAAAGTGCCAAACGACTAATACTAAGATTGAAGAGAATTGAAAAAAATTTCCCAATAATAGGAGAAAAAGGCGCACGGTAATGTACTTCTCTCGCGTTCCCATTTGCATGTAGCTTGAATACGTATATACATAAATTTTTAGAATGAGATTAAAAAAAAAAAACTGCTGTAACACTATATAGAAACAGATAAGACGCACCTCTGTGCTGCAAGAAGAAGTAGAGCTCACTTTTTCGTTGACGCTTTCAAAAACTGGCGCGTTTACTTTAAAATCCTTCAGCCTGTTCAAAAGAATGTGTAGTATTAAAATCACGCAGGGAGAAGCGTAAAACATTTTTAACGTGAAATAGCATTGATATTTCAATATCATAATTTAGAGTACATTGACCCAACCAAAAACCTCGATTTATCAATCACATCTCGCATTTTGTGTGGTCTTCCAAGCGTGTGATTGATGTTTTGTTTACAACACTTTTAAATCTGGTGCAAAACTGTTTTTAGTCAAGTTGTTCTTGCCTTCCCCATCATCGTTGTTGTTGCCATGGTTGTTGTTCTTGACGATGACGTCGTTGATTTTGTTTTTGTTGATGTTGTTGTTTTTGTTGATGTTGTTGTTGTTGTTGTTGATGTTGTTGTTTTTGTTGATGTTGTTGTTTTTGTTGATGTTGTTATTGTTGTAGCTGTTGTTGTTGACGTTATGTTTTTATTATTGTTGTTGTCGTTGTTTTTGTTATTGTAGATTATTGTTGATGTTGTTGTTAATTTTTTTGTTTACCACTCACTCTGGATTGTCCCAAGTTATACTGGTGATATGATCGACTCCTTTGGACGCCTCCTGTACTGATATCAAACCTCTCTCTTGCATGCATTGAAGGAATTTTGACAACTGAAAAAGACGTCGAAGAAGGAGTTCAAATTGGCCTTTTGTCCTCGTCCACTTTAACAAGTAAATGAAGGTAAACGGATAGGTAGCTTTCCGTTGGAGAAGGGAGAACTTAAATGATAGTATAATTACCATTATGTTGCGTTCATGGCTTGTACGACGTAACTTAACTATATCCTTGACGGTTTTCTACTGCAAACTATCTAAAGTCATGTAGCTGCTAAATATAGAATTTTTCACCCTCGCTATAGTATCTTCCAAGCTTAAAAATACTCCACAAAATCGGTTTTTGGTTAGCTTACAAAATTTTCAAAACTTACTTTTTTGTAGGAGGATTTCTTGATATCCAATGACTTTCCCTCCGGGCTGCGAACAAGGTTAAAAGACGATTACTTACAACTTAACCAAACAAGGAACAGAGTACTAGTATTTAATGACATTTTTATCGTTTGGCAATTTAGCATAAAAATGTATCAGGAGTACGATCTCTGAACGGAAGAATTACTTGAGCTTACTGTAAATGGTCAGAATTTATGCAAATAATCCCTTAATACTAACCGGGAAGGTAAAAGATAACTCCTGAAAAATGTACTGGTCAACACAGGAAGCTCGACTTTCTTCATTCTCAACAAGGCGCAAAAGAAACAGTACTCTAAAAGATCATCCATATTCTCTGAAATAAATATAATAAAAAACGAACAAACAGTAAATTGTTAGCAACTTCAAGAAAGTTGGTGGAATGATTCAAACTCCTCCGCTTCTCAAAAGACTGCGCTGGTTAGAAAACAACTTATCTGAGAATTTCCAAATACCTCTTCATACTTTGCCCCTGATTTTGGGTTTATCATTGCGGTGCAAAGAGATTAGTGCTTTCGAATATGATTACCGACTTTTTTTGCTTTTTCAAAGTTATTTTAATATCATTATGTTATAACTTCTATGTTGTAATCAGTGGCGGATCCAGACCTTGAACTAAGAGGGGTGGGGGCGGTTTTTTGTCGCTTGCCCTGTCGGCTTTTCGTCCTTCTGCGATTTTTTTCTTTTACCCAAAATAATGGGACCTGGGCCCACCTGGGCCCCTCCCCAAGATCTGCCACTGGTAACATCGGGGGTAAGCTTTTAAAGAAACTGTGGTGCTGCGTCGGTGGGAGAGTATAACAGTGTAATTTAGTTTTTTCAGTTGTTAGTGCTTTCAGCTTTGAAACTCTTTATGGTGGCCAATTTACGTTATCAACTCTGTTGATAATACTACATTACCCTATCGTTTAACACCCCCCACCAATGCAGCACCACAGTTTTTTTTAGAAACTTACACCCTTTATTCCTATTTTTAAATAAGCTCAGTGAATCTGGAAAATCTCAAAATTCCATGACTCATAACAAATGAATGGTACACGAAAAGAGCTCACCTAAAAGTTTGTCTTGTGAATTTGTTTCATTTTCAGACTCTAGGAATTCTTGTTCAACTTCATTACTGTCTGCATTTGTAGCACTTGTTGCCACTGGGTCTGTTCCATTGCTTTCCTCAACTGAAATTTCATCTTCCTTTTCATCATCTTTCTGAGCAAAGCCGTCTGAGCTTTCAGTCTCTGTAAATTCGAAATCTTAATGATTGATTAACCCTTTAACTCCCACAAGTGATCAACAAAAAACTTCTCCCTACAATATCCTTACATTATCCAGCAAATAGGTGATGAGAATGTTCAAACTAATACCTCCACTGTTAATTCTGACAATTTGCTTAATGAAAAGACAAGCAATTTAGGTTCCATTTGCAAGGAATGTTAACTGCTACCTGGCCTGTAGAGTAGGCATAATTTTGGCAAGTGAGTGCTCAGTTTTTTCTTCATAAAAATTATGCCCCCCAGCTTTGATTTTAATGGCAGCAGAAGGCTGGGGAAAGAAAGAAATTTTTACCAAGGGGGAGGTTGGCAGTAAAAAATAAGGAGAGGGACAGGGGTGGGGGAGCGTCCACTCTGACTCTAAATCAAACATGGCTGGTTGAATAAACGATCACAAGCTTATAACATTAGCTCGCCCTAATAAGACGCCTGTACAGCAAGCTAACTGCTATATGTACCTTCAACTTCCTTTTGATTAATGTCCTTAGTTTCATCGAGTGACAATTCTTCCATACGATCATTAACATCAGCAATTTCAGCCTCATCATTTATCTCCTCCAGCTGCGGTAACTGAGTTTTACTGCCATGTGCCCTGGTAATGAAAACAATATTTGGTAAATAAAAACCACACCAGTAGTAAACAAATATTTTGCATGCCCAGTATTAAAAAAAAGGTTAAATCTGAACAGGTGACTTTTAAATTGCCACTGTTAATCCTTGAACTCCCATGAGTGACCAAGGCAGAATTTCACCTCACAATTACATCAATACAATATCAAGTGATACCAAACTCTCCAAACAAAAATCATGAGAATTGTATCACTGACAGTAAGGAGAATTACTACTGAGATCTTCAGAGTAAGACAACAATCATTATTGCTTACCCCCTCTCCCCCTGATGAGATACTTCTCCGGATTGTAGGCCACCCACCCATCCTTCCCCAATATTTCACTGGGTTTTCCCTGTAGTTTACTGGTGGTCATACCCCCTCCCTCCTCCCCCCCTCAAGGGTTTTGCCAAAGATCACAACACAGTAAACAACCCTTCCTGTGGCTTGAACCTGGATCTTAAAAAAAGACTGATCTAGCAAGCTAAACCCAACCACGTGTCCTCAAAAAAGCAAAATAATCATTAGTAATTATAAATAGTTAATCTCTTAATAAGGATGTATTTGCTATAAATAACGATGTACAAACCATAACAGGTCAAGGTAGACGTGTTCAATCTTCACCCCTTTTCCTCTCAATCCATCCTCTAACAAGTCCTTACTGGACACCAATGTTGTTCCAATGGCCACAGAAGCTCTAGTATGAAACAAAATGCATCCTTCAGGAATAAGAACTTGTTTCTAATTTGTAAATTGACCATACCACATTTTATTACATTCACTGATAAACTTTTTCAACTTGCAGCCGAAAAAGGTTAGCTCAGAAAACTCAATATCACTTAACCCTTAACACCCTAAGATCAATGTGCAAGTTCTCCATACTGTTCTTTATACATTTCCTATGGTACTGATATGGAGAATTTTTTTACCAATTAAGAGTTTCTTGAGTTTGCAATCATTTCCTTTATTCTAATAACCTTAATGTTTGATTCAGGATGTGATACCATTAGGAGAAATCAGATGTTTATCACTCTTAGCTACTCAGTCTCAAATATTTCATTTGGTTGCAAAATAAGAAGGACAACTCTACCTGTTACCCTTGAGACAAACACTGCAAAGTGTACCTCTCTCAAATCTTCCCACAGCTGAGAGTCCCTCGGAGGGCAGGATGACACCAGGAAGCATTAGGTCTAGGAAGAAGGAACAAATTGGAATTTTAAGAACATAAACAAATAAAAAAAGCTCAGAGAATCTTTACATTTTTTATGGGATCCTTGTGCATTCTTATTCCATAGAATGTTGTCAGTGTAAAATCATTTCATGATCAGTCGCATTACATATAATTTTGTCACTAGGTTTTGCTTGTACATGAGGTCATTGATTTTTACTAGATTTACAGGTTTCGCACCATTATCAAATGTACATTTATATATATATATCAAAGATATGATTTTTTCTGACCTATAATTCAGTCCTAAGCATTTTCCTATAATCTTAAATCAGGCAATAAAGTCTGTCAATTAGTTAAATGAGTGTCAAGTTTACAAAATTCAGGTTTCCCTTAAATTTCATTCTGCAGAGATAAGCTCAGTGAAAGAACAGTTTGTTGCCCAAGAACAGAACACGATGACTTGGCCAGGGCTTGAACCCAGACTGCCAATCCCTAAAGCCACTAAATCTCCCCATCCCTACAAGGGAAGTCCTCTGAATTTTCTACTCTTTGCTAAGGAGCAAACTTACCTGCTCCACCCTGGAGTTTTTCAAAAACAGGGGGCCATGTTTTGAAGCTAAGAAGCAGGTCAGGAAATTTCCACAGAGTATAAACTAAAACATGATTGAAATAAATTCAGCTCCACGCACAAATGTGACAAAGACAAATGAATAAAGGGGGTGAAGATTCTAAGGAAACTGTGGTGCAAATTTGGTGAAGGGTATTACAAGATAATTTGGTCTCATCTACTGAGTTGATGATGTAAATTGGCCACTCTTGACCCTTTAACTCCCTGATCAAATTTGTAATTCTCATTACTGTCAATCATACAATTCTCATAATGTTAATCCAGAGAATTTAGTTGTGGATCAATTAATTATTCCCAAATTGATATTTTTCTTTATTCTCATCACTTATTATTGATATTGTAAGGAGAAATTCTGTCTTGGTCACTCATGTGAGGTAAAGGTCTAAAAGTTTCTAAAGCTGATGTTTCGAGAATTAGCCCTTCATCAAAGTGAATAGTAGACAGACATAAACATAAAAAGGAAATATTGCACTTACTGTCAGTGAGATATCTTAGTAGAGATTACTATATATACCATACTTACCTGTTGGGAAAACTTTCTTTTCAACTTCAAAGAATATCGGTTCCCCACTGAGACAAAAAACTGTAACATTCTGTCCAGAATGTGTCATAAGACGCATCACTGAAATTTCCTCTTTGTTTGGAATAATTTCAGTGATTTTGTCTTGTGATAAATTGGGAAAAGCATTGCTAACATCTGATCTCAGTTTCCGCCTGTGAGTTAATACACAGTAACAACATAAACCTTTACACCTTAACATTAGAGTGTATATTCTCTACATTGTTTTCTATATATTTCCTATGGTGCAGACAAGGAGAATTTGTTTATCAATCAAAAGCCTTTTTGATCGGTGAGCATTTCCTTTATTCTTGTGAACTTTTTGTTTGATTCAGGGATTACATTATGAGGAGCAATTAGATGTGAAGCATTCTTAGGGGTTGTGAGGTATAATTTAAGCAATAAACTGAATTTAGAGAAAGAGGTTTTTATCTTGTCATGAGCGTGGGACAGAGAAATAATTCTGAGTCCCCATGAGGAATCCCACCTCAGTCTGAGGTGCGATTCCTCATGGGAACTCATTACGAAAATTTTAGACAGGATCACAGCTTTTCGTTCAAAAAGGCTTCTCTGATTCTCTGAATATTTTAAAGGCCAAGGTAGCATAATAATCCTACATAATTTATTTTTCTTTTCATGATATTAGATAAATTTCATCTAATTTCGGACCTACCTTTGAATGGTAGTGCAACATAGTTAATAAAATCTATTTTGTATTGGTTCATGAGATGTTACTCACCGATCGGACCCGCGAATCGCAGTATTGGATTTTACTCGAAAAGGCTTGTGAAACATTTCTTTATTCTTTCGTCAATAACCTTCCATATGAAAGGTTAAAGTGTTGTTTAGGGAAAACTGCTGATACAATGTAATTCCGCCATGTTGAATTTAGCGCGTAGACTGGCACGATATAGTTTCCAGATCTCCATCGCCCTTTGTTTTGCAGCATCCCGGATGTTATCTGAAGAGCCAAAGTAACAACATCACATCAGCCGTTTACTTTTTGAAATTTATATTTCAAAAGAATACACGTGTGGCCATATATTTCTCACACGTTTGGTTATCTGCCTAAATTCCACTCCGTTTTAAAACCAGTGGTTCCTTTATACAGAGAGAAGCAAGCACTGGACAAAGGAAAGCGCGTGGTTTGACCGAAATGCCGGGTTTACTCTGCTGGAAGATGTGAAGTGAAATAACATTTCGTTTCCTTCGAAATTCCATGAGTTCACTTTGAAGTGAGAGAGTAATGGAGACAATGTTGCTTTGGATGTAGTTTCGTCTACGCATTTTGAAATCTAGAAGCGGACAATACATTGTGCTGCTGAAAGACTTCCGATTTTTAACTTCGAATTCTTCATTTCATAATTTGTCTATAAAATTACCTTGCTGAATTTCTCATCTTCACCAGCCTTGTTTTGAAAACAAGGGCATTTTTGTCGTTGATTCATCCGCATTGAATCAAGTGAAAGCTTGGTTTAAAACTTTTGAGTACTACATTCTGTGAAGCAAGTAAAACGGCATTGACTTCTAACGTACATCCTAGCTACCTGGGGCTGGAACAAGTGACTTCAGAGTTAATCGTCCAACTTTCAATGTGTATTTGCAGTCTTTATGCACAACTTGCAAAGAGAGAACGATCGATTTTCTTAGAAGGCCAAGCACTTCTATAAACTGAAGACAACCATAGAATTTCAAAGCGCGTGTACTCATCCAAAACAGCTGAAAATGGACCCAGAATATGAAAGGAGACTTCTACGTCAACCTAATGGACGTAGTCCTCTTGCTAATTCTGTAAGTATGAACGAGGCTTCAGTATTAAACTTGTGTTCCTTGCTTAGATGGTTTTAGCATTAGTAGGTTTGCTAAAGTTTCAACACAGTAGATGTTGCACATTTACAAGTAGGGTTTGGTAAATTTTTAAGAGAACATGTCTTGATATAACAGAAAATGTTGTGGAATGGCATTGTAAACAAGGTGATATGTTTTTACCACATTAACAATTACAGCATGGGGATATTCCTGTATTACTTATTTTATTGTAATCTCTTCTGATAGAAATAAATTTCCCTGTAAAAGCAGATTTTCCTCATTTTTTTCATTCATTTTTCATTCCCTCCTATCCTTGCTTCTTCCAGTTGTTATCACCTTGAAAAGTTCCTTCCTCATTTAAGAGCAAAGGTTGAATGAAATAGTAATTTATTTGGGCTTCCTTCTGATGTGAGAACCTGTTACGTTTATTAGTGATATAGAACAACAAAAAGAGAGAACTCAAAAAGGTAGAACTGAAGAGAAAAATAAAGGGTATAATGTCGAAACAAAAAAAACTTGACTGGTTCTGCTCACACTTAGGGAAACCCACTGTCCATTATTTTGAGCTTATGACATATGTAAGTTCTTTCATGTAATTTTAGCATATTGGAGGAATTACTTTGTCTGATTATCTTGCTATTTTCTTTGCTTTGTTTTTACAGCCATGTTCGAGTGGAATAAGGCATTTCAGTTCACCTTATCTAAGCCCATTGAGCTCTCCTAGCAGAGAAAAGTATGGAGACAGGTAAAGAAAGTGTCATGGAATAGTCACTATACTTTCAATTCATATTTGAAACATTTCTTTCAAACTTAAACATTCAATATGAATGCATTCTTTCTTTAAAAAGTTTCCAACTTGCTTTCCTTTTACAAGGTTTATACCAAGCCGCAGTAGTCCAGCTCTTGAGCTTAATTTTGATTTGATACAAGTAAGTATACTGTTGTTGCTTGGATCTGTACAACCTCATATACATGTACATGTAAAAGGTATAATAACCTTTTCACTCTCATGAGTGACCAAGACAATTCTTCTATTCAATATCAATATGATATCAAGCTGACAGGTGACAAGAATTAAGAAAAATATCAACTGGGGGATTGTAGGTTGATTCAACAAAAAATTCTCAGAACTAACATCATAAGGATTATATGGCAGACAGTAAGGAGAATTACTTGGGAGTGAGTTACCTTGTTTTACAACTTGTAGCTAAGAAAAGCTCTTAGAATCATAAACAGTGCAAACTTTATTCCCTTACTGGACTGAAGATCCTTATTGTATGAAATTGAGCTGTTTCAGTTTCTCTCTTAACCTTTATTCTATGGTCACTTGACAAAATAGCTACATGTATTAAAAACTAAATTAAGATGAGTATTGGTAATAGTGTTGAAGATTGTTCATTTGTTCAAAATCTTCTCAGGAAAATAGTGATCCAGGAAAGAACAGTGCAGTCACAAGGTAAGCTTTATATTCCATGGGTGGTCAATTTTTGCAGGAATATTCTGACTATGGGAAGAAAATTTGACTCAAGTTGAAATTATGCCGCTTTTGCTTACCTTGTTTTTATCCTGATGTTTTCAAGCACATTAAGTGATACATTATACCTCTTGTTCAATCAAAACTACAAAATAAAATGGTCAAAAATTTTCTCTCTTTCAGAGATGCCAGTGTGGATTCCAAAGGTATGAATTCTTTTATATAATTTATATGTAATAGAAATGAATCCATCAGACTCAGGCAAGTCTTTTGGTGTATCCCAGTAATGAACACTACTTAAGAAGCAGTGAGGGCTTATTTTCACTATTTCATAAGTAGTGTTTTTCACTGTGAAGATGGCTTTCATATTCATTTCTTAATTCACAGTTCACAAATTTGATTTTTGTATATTCATAGTCATTTATTTATCTCTTCATGGATTTATCACAAACCAACATAATGACTAGCTCCTAGTTGGCTTGTTAGCTCATTTGGTACAGCATTGCTCTGGTATCACAGAGGTCATGAGTTCAAATCCTGTACTGGCCTGAATTTTTTTCAGGCCTTAGTTTCATTCCTGCTTGAGTAGTGTTTGTTGCTGCAAAGGTCATTTTATATTCATTTCTTAATCTGTGGTCCACATACATGTATATGATATTCATATAATTATTTACAGTCACATATTCAAATCTGTATGTTTCAGAGGGAATGGCTTATCAATGTCTGCTAAAGAATGAACTTCTTGGGGCTGGAATAGAAGACCTTAAGGTGACCTACAGGCATTTGCAGTTCTTTACAGACTTATGTTATTTATTTATCTGAGTGTGCACACTTCACAAAAGATTTCACCTGTATTTTGAGTACCATGTATTTAATATGGGTTTCAAAATTATCCCCAGAGCATAATTTTGCCTCTTTTTGGTTCACAATAAGTTGACCTCGAAAGTTAATCAGGGAAGGATAATAAATTATAAGATTATTTTTTTATAAGTGCCCTCTATTTTCTGTGAATTTTTTCAGTTGCTAACAAGAAGATTGTTCTAAAAACACTTGACAACTATTTTTTAAACATTTTGTTTCAGGATGTACCACAAGAGGAAAGAAGAGCACTTTCCAGCAACAGTAATCACATACATAGCATATTCCAGGTTTGAAAATTCTCTTTGACACTTAATGAATAAATCAAATAATAAATCAAGTAATAAATCATATATGGTACATGATTCAGACAAATGTTTATCTCCAGCATGACTTTTTACAATAAGAGGGTTCAGAACTATTTCACCCCCTCCCCCTCCTTCCCCCACTCCATCCCCCCTCCTACCTCCCATCCCCACCCCCTCCCCCATCCTCCACTGTAGACAGCAGGGTTTGGATGCTGCTCAGTTCTAGGGTAATTTACACAAGCGGGATACTTTAACAAAGAGGACGTATCTGTATAGAACTCATCTAGAAGAAATTTCTTATCCTCCCACAGTGACTTTGCCAGTTTTCTTTTCTCTATAGTACCAAGTGAAAAGAAGTAAACAAGATGATACAGAATCAGTAGCTTCCTACTCACTGTCACCTGTAGGCAAGAAAAGGTAACTTACAAACTTGCCTATCTTTAACTTTTTAACTCCCATGAGTGACCAAGACAGAATTTCTCCTTACAATATCAATACAATATCAGGCAGACAAGTGATGAGATTATAAAGAAAAATATCAATTAGGGGATTGTAAGTTGATCAAATACCAAATTTTAAAAATTAACATTACAAGAACTGTATGGCAGACAGTAAAGAGGATTACTAATGAGATCTTGGGAGTTAAAGGGTTAAATATACAATTTTTATTTACTTAACGATTATAAATGCATATGAAAAGTAGTACAAGCCCTGGGCCTGTGCTTGTTTGCATAGTCAGAGCAAAAATCTCTCTAAACCAGAGGGTGCCAGAGTTTTTTATCAATGGCTGTGTCAGAAGGAAACTTTCTGGAAACTCTAACATTTTGTATTGTTGAAGTTATGAATTGCAATTAACATGTATAACCAAAATGCACCTTTTTGTTTTCTTCTTTCAGTCAAAGACTGTTAAGATCGCCAAGAAAGGTCAGTTACAAACATTTTTTCTTGGTAGCTCATTCAAATTGTACATGTTTATGTAGCTGTTTACATAATGATTCTGTCAATATTTTTTTTTTCCTTGTAAATTGATCCTTTGAACCCTAAAAGTGACTAGCATTGAATTTCTCCTTACAATATCATCCCTGAATCACACATTAAGGTCATTAAAGTAGGGGAAATGATTACCAATTATCAACAACTAAAGAAGCCCTTGACTGTTTAACAAATTCTCCTCATCAGCACCTTGAGAAATGTATAGAGAACAGAAGGGAGAATATGTATATTGATATTAGGGCATTAAGGGTTAAATCAGCAAAGTTTGCTGGGGAACAATTCTCAATACGAATGCACAATGAAAGTTTGTATTCTTTTGTTCTTCTAGTCTACAAGAAAAATTTCCAAGATACCATTTAAAGTTTTAGATGCTCCAGAACTACAGGTTGGTTTAATCTATGTCTGACAGTGAGAGCAGTGCTACTTTTAATTTTTATTTTACTATTTTTTAGCAAAACTTACAAGAGACGAAAAAAAAGTCACATTCTTGGCAATGAACTGTGATGGATTTTTATCTTTCATACTTTGAAAGCAGCCATGTCTTTTAGTGTACATGCATTTAGTGTTTTCTTTCTTCCTTTTTTTTTGGGGGTGAGCTGCTTGTTAAAAAAATATTCTTTTGAGGATCAGGAAAAAAACTGCTGCATCTATTTCTTTTTGGCTGGATTGTAAATTTAAGTTGGTCCTTTTAAGAGGAAAAGTAAGCAGTGGTTACTCATTTGATTATTAACAACCATAAAAGAGCAGTGTATGTGTGTTTTTTCTTCAGTACTTACTTTCTTTCTTTCTCCTTTTTTTTTTCTTTCATTTTGCATGTTTTTTTTTCCTTAGGATGACTTTTATCTAAATCTTGTGGACTGGTCAGGACAGAATATTTTAAGTGTTGGATTAGGAACCTGTGTTTATCTTTGGAGTGCCTGCACCAGTCAGGTATGACAGTTTCTTTCTAAGGATGTTTCTGAAGGCCATGTTTTTTGTGTGTGTAGTTTTATTCTTTAATATATGCTCCATTGAGTTTGCAAAAAAACACCAGGAAACCAGAAACAGCATGGCTGCAATATTGCCAAGGTCAAAATTTTGAAACACTGTCACTTGGCTACCAATTAGAATGACTTTGATGAGACAAAGTGATATCTTGCTGAACAAAATTATTTTCTGTAATTTCTCCACAGGTTACCAAACTCTGTGATCTTGCATCTGATGGGGACTCTGTGACATCTGTGTCTTGGTCAGAAAGGGTAAAGTGTAAAATCAACTTTGATTTTTATCAAATCATGTTGTATGTTGCGCTACCAATTTTCAACCTCTGGGATTTTTTTCTCTTTGTGTATAGTAACTATCAATGTTAAAAAGAAAATCAAGGAAGATGGAATAAAGAATCTTGATACCAGACTTATTCAACCAAAACTTAAAAATTTATACGTGACTGAGTGGTGATTTTGTTTGTTTATGAGCTTGTTTGTTTATTTGCAGAGTGGTCTGGTGGCTGTTGGGACTCACAAGGGTCTTGTTCAAATCTGGGATGCAGGTGCACAAAAGAGAGTGTCTACTATTGAAGGACATACTGCTAGAGTTGGTAAGCAGGCCAAATTTACAGTTGGCACTGTTTTTATTGCTTGAAACAGTACTAGTTTTCTTTTGTGTAGTTAGGTCAAAAAAGATCTCTTGCATGCTGCTCAAAACCAATTGAGGCAAATGAGGATATCACTGTACAGCAGGAATATTCTTAGTCTTCGCAAATGAATGCTTTGAAGTGTTGCAAACAAATTGTGACTAGTAAACTAAGAATTTAGAGATTTAACCTTTCAACTCCCATGAGTAACCAATACAGAATTCCTCCTTACAATATTGAAATAATATTAAGCAGACAAATGATGAGAATGCAGAAAAATGTCAAATAGCAGATTATTAGTTGATCCTATACCAAATTCTCAGAACTAACATCATAAAAATGTTATAGCTGAAAGTATAGCAAATTACTAATGGAATGTTGTTGCAAAACAGTTAAATTATGACCATTGTGATCCATAATTTTTTCATAAGATTAATACAAGTGAAGCATTGGAAAAGATTAAAATCTGTCAAGTTTTTCCTACTTCTGTTGATGTAATGTACTAATTGCTGACTACATAGTTTCATACTAAACAATGTTTCCTATCAAATGTTGTACCATATCTTAGGTGCTCTGGCATGGAATGGTGATGTGCTCTCATCAGGGAGTAGGGACAGGCTGATTCTACAGCGTGATGCTAGAACACCCAATGCTGTGGAGAGAAGATTGATTGGACACAGGCAAGAGGTGGGCCCCCCCTCCCCCCTTCCCCCCCCCCAAAAAAAACAAGCCTCCCTCCCCCCTTCCCCCCCAAAAAAAAAAACAAACAGACAAACTTTTGTCATATTCCATTTAATTTCTGCAGCAATACTCTGTCTTTGATGGTAATTATTGAAGTTAACCCTGTAAGTCCCACTAGTGACCTAGACAGAATTTCTCCTTACTCTTTCAGTACAGTATCAAGCAGACAAGTAATGAGAATAAAGAAAAATATCAATTAGGGAATTATTGGTTGATCCAATTCCAAATTCTCCAAACTAACATCATATGAATTGTATAGCAGACAATAAGGAGAATTACTAATGAGATCTTGGGAGTTAAAGGGTTAAGTTATGTGAGGAGAAGCCTTATATCTACTCAGGATTATTTTCTACCAGAGTGCAAGGAAAGCTTTCAAGAAGGCTCAAACTTTGAAATGACCTGTAAGGGAATCCTCTGGGCTCTGTAGAAGCTGCTCTCTTGTACATGAGTACTGACATGTCTGTCTTTTCTTAGACTAAAGTGACTTTCTCTGTTTCTAATTGCACAACCTGCTGTCTATAGGTTTGCGGGCTGAAGTGGTCCCCAGATCATCAGCATTTAGCATCAGGAGGAAATGACAACAAGCTCTTGGTTTGGAGCATGTCCAGTCTGTCACCTGAGCAACAGTACAGTGAACACTCAGCGGCAGTCAAAGCCATTGCGTGGTCTCCACATCAGGTGTGTACATTATTCAGTGGTGTACTCTACAATATGATGGCACCGAATTTCTTCAAGAGTCAGATATTTTGGACAGTAGTGTCCAATTTTGGACAGAAATGTCCAATTTTGGTCTGTTACTAGACACCAGTGTCCAATATTTGACACTAATATCCGATTTTTGACTCTAGTGTCTGATATTGGACACTAGTGTCCAATTTTAGACACTAATTTCTGATTTTAGACACGGGTAGAATCCTGACTCAAAGTGCCTGAATTTATATTGTAGCACGGTTTGTTGTCCTCTGGAGGCGGTACAGCTGACAGGTGTATTAGGTTTTGGAATACATTAACAGGACAGCCGCTACAGTGTGTTGACACTGGCTCGCAGGTATGTAGAATCGTCCCTTAAAACTGCCGATCGAAATCCTCGAACATTTCTCGGAACTTCTCGAAAGTTAAGCTTCGAAACTCGATTCTCGTTTCACGATAGTTTCGAGTCGAAACTGTCATCTTATAGCTACTGCTCTGTGGGGTGTTGGGGGGGCGTAAATGGGTGGACTGTTTTACAGTTATTTGCTGTTTTCCATTCCCCCCACCGTTTACAGTCTGGAAGAGGGGGTGAGCTTCACCTCACAATGACAAATTTTTCCATGATATGTACACCTCCTAACATTCGACGCAATTTTTTTAATTTTGTTTTCTGCCTTGTTTTAGGTGTGCAACTTAGCTTGGTCCAAGCATTCAAATGAACTGGTGAGTGTTTTTTCATCTTTAAAGCAATAATTTCGCACACTAGGCCGGTATTCATTGTATTTATTCAATGCGCCCGTATTAGCGGAAATTCTCATCATTGTCTGTTGTTTTGTAGGTCAGTACACATGGTTACTCACAAAATCAGATCTTGGTCTGGAAATACCCATCATTAACTCAAGTAGCTAAGCTAACGGGTCACTCCTACAGGGTTCTTTACTTGGTAAGCACATAATGTCATGTGTTCGTTTCCTCTTCTTTGTGTGACATAGAAAGTTACGAGGACTATAGATTTCGCACGCGTTATCTTTAGTCACGTTATACGGCTTCTTTGGATGGCAATGAAAGTTGCGAGATCAAGCTTTAGCACGCGTTGTCCTTAGTCATGAAGTACTTCTCCGTTGCGTGGTAATCAGTTGAGAAAATGTCTTTATCACGCTATATCTTAAGTCACGCAATACAAAGCGAATTACTCACTGACGAGAGTTAACACGTTAATCTTAGGCCGTATCACCGGATGGTGAGGCTATCGTGACAGGAGCAGGAGATGAAACTCTTCGATTTTGGAACGTCTTCAATAAAGCCCGCTCGCATAAGGTATGGCTAATTTTCATTTTGTCTTTGGTCGAGTGATTTATACCTTGGTATGCTTTATAATTTGTTAAGATCTCGTCATCCGTGCGTCCACGCGTTTCTTCAGATCAAGCATGTTGAAGGGAGTAACTTGTCTATAGAAGTAATTCTGATGTGTTCGCTTAGGGGACCTCTCACCGACGTCTGTTTAACCACAGGTGGCCCAAGCTCCAGCTGTGAGATGATCATCCAAGAGCATTTATTCCTAAATATTCCCATAAAAACTTTTAGTATTTCGCAAGATGATCATCTCACAGCTGGAGCTTGGGCCGCCTGTAGTTTAACCTGACAGCAGACTCTCGTGTTTGGGTTTTATCTTGTATCCCCCTCTCTGTGCATATCTCTCTTTCTCCCCCTCCCTGTGGGGAACTGTTGAACTGTCAGCTACGTCTTACAAAATTAGGAAGGGGTGGGTGGGGGTGGGGCTGACTTGTAATAAGTTTAGCGGAGTACAGACATAATCCTATTTAGTTCATGACAGCGAAACCGGGAGAGGCTCCAGAAGACAAATATAAAAAAAACCGCGCCCTGCAGTCTGGAAAAAATCTGTTTTCTTATTTGTCTTCAGCTAATAGTTTTGTTTTTGGATACAGCAAGATTTTCCTTTCTTACATGGCAGTTAGTAATTATTAAGTCAATTTCAATTGTTTTCTTCAGGAATCCAAGTCAGAGCTCAATCTGTTCTCCAGAATAAGATGATGTTTACCCTAAGAGTTGGATCTTTAATGTAACAGTTATTGCGTTTGTACCAGGATACAATAATATGATTATCACTTAAGCACGAGTACTCCGTATTTTTGTGGAGGTAGTTGTCTTCGTTTAAGACGAAGCTTTCTCTTTAAGCGTTACCTCCAACTTTTTCTCTCTTTTTTGTAAATTTTTCGCCGATAAACTGTGTCTATCAAAATGTATGTAAATCAGTTGTCCGATGTTGTAAACTTGGGCTAAAATGCGATGGATTGCATTTTGGACTGTATTAGGGGTATTTCATTTTATTGAAAATATATATCTATACTTGACAAAAGCTGACAACAATTCGTTTGAAACCTGTAAATCAGCCACGTAAATTGGCGACACGATTATAGCTGGTTGCTGACAACTACTGCTGACGTTTGATGTATTTTGCTCTCGAAAGCTAACCACAACTTTCTCTCGTCACGCAATGTTTTGTCTTTTGTTGAGGAGAATTTTGCGATGACCCAGTCACGCCGGCAAGTCCAGGAGTACCTTGTGAGACGAAGAATGATTAGGTGAAATAATTTTAGAAAAACATTTTTTTTAAGGACATTTTACAGAAAGGGTGTAAAAAAGAGTTAGATTGCGTGGTTAGATGATGTGGAAATCTGCAATGATATATGACCAGAAATGGTGAAAAGGAATAAACGAGAATTTTTCAACTTAGATAAAACGTTAAGCTCCAATTACCTAAACACAACAATGTACCATTGCTTTTTCCTACTTGATTCCCAGGCCCTATGTTCAATTAGCCCTCCTTGGATCGAGAGAGACTTGGGAACGAGGCTCAACCGCGTTGATAAACGCTTACTCTTTACACCAAAGTTTCGCGAACCGAGGGACCGGTCCTTATTTATTTGTGGGGGAGGGGACTGGAGGATTTTGGTTGCGTCCTGATAAAATTTATCTGATCCCCATATAAGGCTCTGTCATATTCTTATGATTCCGCTCTCAATGGCAGTCAATTTTTACATTCTCCCCTTTATATTTACTTAAAAATATATAATTCTAACTACAATAAGTTGACAACGACTTTTGCCGTTTCGTTCTTCCTGTAAAGCATGTGATCCCTTAAAAAAATCCCCCACCCCCTCTGAGTCAAAAATAATGACCGGCCCCTTCGGGTAACTGTGAAGTTTTTTGTTCCTGATCGACCGTTGTGATAACCCAAGTGGTAGTTTTAAAACACTCAATCCAAATGCCCCTACACTTCTCAGTCTTATTTTGACGCCGAATTTGACGGCCGTCAATGTACATACGGTCGATATCGGTAAACCACAAATGAAAGCACCTAGGGTTATGTAACTGATTAAAGAAATCCTACTTCCGGCCTCTTTTAAGAAAACTGATCGGTCAGGAAGATTATTTGCGTCTAAAGGCTAATGATCTGAAACCGAAAACAATCGGATAATGTTCTTTTGCGGTAACTTAAATTTCAGCCTGGATTTCTTTCATTTTCAAATGAATATGGCTGCGGCAAGAAGGCATGTTGATGAAGGAGATTTGAACTTTGTTTTTAAGCGCCTTGGGGAGCGAGGAAATGAAGCTGAGTTAGTCAAAAAGAGAAATGATCACGTCACTGGGCCAACCTTAGAGCGACTAACGGAATTCTTCATGGAATGTACCGAGAATCAAGTCATAGCCCGACCCTATGGGAGTGTAGCTGAAGATTTGATGTGTCTCTCACCCGATGATTATGGGAATACGGACATCATGGTGTTCCCAAGCTCTGAGGCCTTTTTGATTCACGAAGAAGTGGTCGATCATTCACTGGAAAGTCCACTGCATGTGAGAATCAGAGCCGGCGATCATCCCGTATTGCAGTCGTGCCTTGTAGAAGGTACAGAATACCTGGCCACTTTAGCACTAAAGAACTTCCATCCTGCAATTTATGGGAGCAAAGCGTGTGAATTAATGCATCATTTTACATGTTGCTTGCGAATATTCTCCAAGGATGATCTCAAACACTCTCTTCAAATTGTTGCGAATTGGAAGAACGAGAAAACCAGCCCAGCTTTTACCACTGATTGTATGGAATCGTCTGATACTCTCCACCGACAATTGCAAAACATGACGGAGTCAAAGCGGCTGCATAGTTTGAACAGCGCTGAGTGGGAATGGTTCCTCGGTGCGATATGCAGGGCAAGGGGAGTCGAATATACGAGAGAGCACGCCGCAGTTATGGACGACTTTCTACAGTATATGAGTGAGTTACAGGAGTCCCTGACCAAACGTGGCCCTGATGATATTTACGAAGGCTTTCCAGCTTACCTACATGAAATGATGTCGAGCGATGTAGTTCAAAACTTCAAAGCCCGAGTGAAAGCTATTGAAAGCCGATCACCAAACGAAAACGTAAGTCAGGCGGAAGTGATATATTCTGATGTTTCAAGCGTCACGCCACGTAAGGCAGTTGAAGGCGGAAGTAAAACAGAAACTGACGATTATGGAAATAATGTCATGCTATCAAACAACAACCATCCTCAGACGCTTCAAATTCAAGACTTAGAGTCCACTTCCTCCCATGCCATGGAGTACGCAAGATGTCCAAACGACCTTCAGCCTGAAAAACCAACTAAGGGAGAAGATCCGACTAACCTGACAAGACACATGGCAAAAAAAGATAGCGAGCAGGTTCGAGATGAAACCCAAATGAAACAGGAGACCACAATTGAAAATGAAAAAGACGACCAGACAGGGGAAAGCGAAGAAAGATTCGATTTCAAGCCACTTTTGTACCATTTATTCGAGAAAGAAGCAGAAGTCAAAGAGCCGTCTGAAAATGACACAGCCTATTTAAAAAAAAAGACAGGAATTGATCTTGTGCCCGCCCTGAAATCCCGAGGATGGCCGAAGTCTGCACGAGATTGGCTCGAAAGAGAGCGGAAATGGCCTTCCGTCGAAATGGTGACTAAGATCATTGACGAAGGCTACCACCTGGTTGTCAAATCTCCAAAGTACAGTGAAATTCCCGAGTGCGACTTCAGAATCTCATTTTCTCATGCAGAGTACCTGCTAAGCCAAGAGATGAATGAAATCCAACGCGAGTGTTACCGTTGTTTGAAGAAATTACACCGTGCTTATCTTTCCAGTCCAGCAGGTTTGGTGTCATTCCATCTCAAGAACCTCTTTTTGCAAACAATAGAGGAGACTGGTGCCGAGATGTGGATCGAGGACAAAAGAGCCGAATGTATGATAAAGCTCCTCGAGAACCTGCTAAAAGCTTTGAAAGACAAAGACTTGCGACATTTCTTCGTGAGATCCTACAATCTCTTTGGTGTTGATTACATTGTCAAACCCGAAACTCTTGTATCTTTGGCCGAGAAGGTGGAGAAGATTATGGAAAATCCGTTAGACTTTTCCCAAGCGTTGATCCAGCAGAGTGAAGAAAAAAAGAAAATTCAAAAGGAGACATTCGAAAAAGAGAGCAAGCAAGGGGTGCCTTCAACATCAGGACATGGAAGAGCAGCTGAACCAAGGGGCAGCAATGAAAACCTAGCAAACATGGAAATAATGAAAGACGCTGTGTTGCACAACTCCCGACTGAGTGGCAACCTACTTCCCAAACATCGATACCATGACTTGCAAGACCTTTACCTCCAAGTCGGCACAGAGTTAGTGGAAAAATCTTTAAATGGAGATGAAATTCATGATCCTCTTGAAAGATCCCTGGTGAAAGATCTTAAAGAAATGATACAAAGCCATGATTTTCAGACTGAACATTTCCTTCAAATGTTGAGAAACGGCTGGTCTAATGCTTATTTCAGGATCTGCCTCAGTACCGAGCTGGAAATGAGGCGCCGAATGCTTGATGCAATTCGCGGTGATGTCGAAACGTGGAAGTACCTTTTGAGGCAGGAAGACCTGGCGTCAGGGAACGAAGAAGCCATAGCCAACCGAATGCTGGATCCATCCAATGAGGATCGTTTTGACCTAAGCAACATAGTTCCAGCTGGTGGATTTGTACAGTACCTGCGCATGTTCCTCAATGGTGTTGCCCACAGGCCACCTCAACCAGCGCAGGTGCAGGCGTCTCAAGATGTGGATGATATACCTTTAGACTGAATTGAACTATTAACCGAGGGATATAAACTACTTCGCTTTTAGGGTTACTCCCTTTAATTGACTGCCTAAGGAAAAATGGGCTGGAGTTTCTTTCATGATGCGATGTACCCACTCACGAGACAAAACAAGTAGGCATTTTTCTTTATGACAAGACTTTTTTTCGCTTTTTAACTGACCATGAACTATTTTATGATTTTTTCAAATGTTTCTTCGACAACTGTTGCAAAGTATTTCCAAGCGGCGCTCAATACCGGTTGCATGGTTTTCGCGTTTGTTACATATTTCAAGCATGTATGCGTTTTTGCCTTGGGAACTCTTCGTATGTGCCTCAATGGGTTCTATGTATTTTTCCTGTTTTGATGGACTTTGGTTGCCTAAATCTGCCTTTATTTGACTAAAAAGCAACCTATATAATGCTCTCGATAGTTTTCCTAGACACCAGTCCCGAGTCCATTCCAGTGTTCATTCTAATATTTCCAGCTGGCCTCTCAATACAGGCTGCAAATTGGACACTGAATGCTATTAAAAGGGGAAAGCCGAAAAGCTCAAAGAGTTTGGTATTGATAACGTGAAAACCGACTTCAAATATGGCCAAATTCACCAAACCAAAGTTTTTGACGTCCTCGTCTCCAGCCCCTACCCCGCCACTCTTTTCCCTTATTTTGGATAAAAAAGAGGTTGGCCTGGGTAAGAGAATCACTCGCCTTTCGAAATTGAAACTCCTTTGGACCTGATTGAATTGTTTTTACGTGCCTTTCGCTTTCGTTTCGGGTAATAATGGCTGTGTCGAGACATTGTGTCGACGAAGAGGAACTGAACCTCGTGTTTAAGTGTCTTGGGGAACGAGGAAGAGAAGCAGAGTTGGTTAAAGAGTACGACGAAAAATGTCTCAGCTTTCTTTTAGCGAAGCTTACGGAGGCCTCGACTAAATTTACCGAAAAAAAACTTGTAGTCCGACCCTATGGCAGTGCAGCGGAAGATTTGAAGTGCTTATCGCCAGAAAATTATGGAGATATAGACATTATGGTATTCCCAACCACAGACAGCTTGATCATTCACGAAGACATGCTCGAATATTTACCAGAAAACCCCCTCTATGTAAGGATCAGAGCAAGCGACCATTCCGTGTTTCAGTCGTGCCTTGTAGAAGGTACAGAATACCTGGCCACTTCAGCGCTGAAGAACTTCGATCCTGCGATTTATGGGAGCAAATCGTCCGAATGGTTCGATTATTTGAAATATAGCTCAAACATAGTCTCCTCCGATGATCGTTCGCCCTCTCTTCAGTTCGTCTACGGTTGGAAGAACAACGAAGTAGGCCCGGCGTTTACGATTGATTCCAAGCAGTGGTTTGGAACGACCCTCCAACAACTGCAAAACATGACTAAGTCAAAGAGGGGGTGTAGCTGTGAATTGGCTGATTGGGAAGGGCTGGTTAGTTCGATTTTCAATGCAAATGGAATTGATTACACACGAGAACACGCTTCTGTTATTGAAGATTTACTTCGCTGTGTGGGTGAATCACAGGCTTCACTGATTGAAAGTGGCCCAGATGGATTTATCCGTGGACTACCCATCCTCTTTCAAGAATTTATATCAAGCGATGAGATGCAAAGCTTCATAACCCGAGTCAAAGCTATTGAAAGTCGAAAACAAAACGAAAGTGAAAGTCGGGCGGAAGCGATCTGTCACGAGGAGACCGGTGTCACGCAACAAAAGCGTCACACTAACGAAGTTGAAAGAAGTTCAGAACCTGCCCATTTTGGCCCCGGTGTAACGGCACAAAATCGTAGCGACGCTCAGACGCCTGGCAATCAAGACTTGGAGTCCACCTCTTCTGATGAGATTGACAATACACGAATCCCAGACGAGTCAGTGACTGAACAACAAAACGACAGGGAAGGTGCGCGAGAAACAATCGAAAACACCTCAAAACAAGATGGCGGAGCGGTTCAAAAGGAATCCATACCAGAATTGAAGAACTCCGGTGAAAAAGAAGGACCGACCTCAAAAGGTGCAGCAGGAAGTGACAGAGCCAAACATGAGGTGGAATCTGGAGAAAGAGAGAAATTTCATCTCAAACGATGGCTCAACCATTTGATTGGGGAAGAAAGTGGAAACAAGGAGCATCGTATCGAAGAGAAAGACTCTATCACACGTAAGAGGGGAATTGATCTCGTGCCTGCTTTAAGATCCCGAGGATGGCCGAAGGCTTCACGAGACTGGCTCGAAAGAGAGCGGAAATGGCCTTCCGTCGAATTGGTGACTAAGATCAAAGACGAAGGATACCACCTAGTTGTCAAATCTCCAAGGTACAGTGAAATTCCCGAGAGCGACTTCAGAATCTCATTTTCTCATGCAGAGTACCTGCTAAGCCAAGAAATCAACGACATCCAACGCGAGTGTTACCGTTGTCTGAAGAAATTGCACCGTGCTTTTCTTTCCAGTCCAGCAGGTTTGGTGTCCTTCCATCTCAAGAACCTCTTTTTGCAAACAATAGAGGAGACTGGTGCCGACATGTGGACCGAGGACAAAAGAACCGAGTGTATGATGAAGCTCCTCGAAAACCTGCTAAAAGCTTTAAAAGATAAAGACTTGCGACATTTCTTCGCGAGATCATACAACCTTTTTGGTGTTGATTACTTTGAGAATCCCGAAAATCTGGCATCTCTGGCCGAGGTGGTGAAGAATATCATGAAAAGTCCGGTTGAGTTTTGCAAAGCACTGATCCAGAAAAATGAAGATGATACGAAGCAACTTAAAAAGAATGAACCACAACAAGACAGCGAGCGAGCGGTACCTGGAAGAGCAGCTGAACCAGGAAGCGTCAATGACAACCAAGGAAACAAAGAAATTACGACAGATACTGTGTTGCGCAGCCCTAAACAATGTAGCAACCTACTTCCAAATTATAGAGACCATGACATGCAAGATATGTACCTCCAAGTCGCCAAAGAGTTGGTGGAAACAGCTTTAAACGGAAATGAAATTCATGATCCTCTTGAAAGATCCCTGGTAAAAGGTTTCAAAGAAATGATACAAAGCCATAATCTTCAGACTGAGCATTTCCTTCAAATGTTGAGAAGCGGCTGGTCCAATGCTTATATCAGGATCTGCCTCAGTACCGAGCTGGAAATGAGGCGCCGAATGCTTGATGCAATCCGCGGTGATGTCGAAACGTGGAAGTACTGTTTGAAGCAGGAAGACTTAGCGTCAGGGAATGAAGAAGCCATAGCCAACCGAATGCTGGATCCATCCAATGAGGATCGTTTTGACCTAAGCAACATAGTTCCAGCTGGTGGCCTTGGACAGTACCTGCGCATGTTCCTCAATGGTCTTGACAACAGGCCACCTCAACCAGCGCAAGTGCAGACGATCCAGGCTGTGGATGATATACCTTTAGACTGAACTGAACCATCAGCAGCGTTTTGCTTCTTCATAACTGAGAAATTTGATTTAAGGTTTTTTTTCTGAATGAGTGTTTTTCTAAGTGCAAGATGATGTTATTCCGTGAATGACACAGGCATACTCGGGGAGAACAAGCTTCGAATGCTCCCAACAGGAGTCAGTCTTACCATCTTCCGATTCATACTTAGAACGCTCTATTGCAACTGAGCTTTAGGAGACTCATGGCTGATGTTGTTTTATTGCATAGTTTATCGCAATTAATGGTATGGGCGGTTTGAGTGTGTTCTGCATGGGAGTAGTTCTTCTCGCTCCTTTTTTTCATCGCTTGCATTTGAACTGGTTGCAATTGTTATTAACTTGATTGCATATTGGTTTATTCTATGTCGGCATATTATATATCTATCAAAAACTACACCAACAAACTGATCAATGAAATTAGAGAAATGGCTTTTTGGTATAACCAGGCAAACTCACACATTCACACAAGGAAAAGAAGAGACAAAGAACCAAAATACAGAAAGTGATCGCATTGGAATAAAAGACTAAATTACCTAAATTTTATCACCCAATTTCATTTGCAATTTTTTCTCTCTCTTTCTTTTATGAAAACATCATCTACGCTTAAAAGCTACAAATTTGTGAAGGGAAGAACTGTTTATATCTGTTGGGGTTCTTCACGTGAAGAAAAGCGCTCTAAAAACAGCGGACTAGTAGAGTGTGAAGTAACTAAACTTTAAGTTTCAAAATGACTAGCTAGAAGTATTGAGACGATTACACAAATATACAAACACTTGTAGTAAGAAAGTGAAAAAAACTGGCTGTCAAATATAAGTATATATAGAGCTGTTTCGAGGAAGATTTTCGGTAAAATGGACAAAAGTGCACGCGATAATCTCGGATAGAAATATGGCTATTAGGTAATTAATGAGGTTGAATGAGTAAACCGTAATGTGAAAATTACCATTAATACCTCTCGGGTGTGTCTCGTGCACTTTAACGCTTTTTTCCTTCAACCTTTCTCAAAACAGCTGTTTATTAGTAACAAATAATTAAATATGATAATGTATATTGTCATCTTGAGGGTCTCAAAAGGAATAATATATAAATGTTCTTTGATAATGTTAGGGTTTATATGTAACTGTTAAAAAAAACTTAAATAAGAAAATTATGATCGCGTCGCTAATGCAATTAAATAAACGTTACGGGAATCGTTTTGTATGTGTAGATCTTGTTTGCTGGACTGGTGACCAATCAGGGAGCACATAATAGTAACACTAAGCCAATTCACGATTTATTTCAACATTCGCCAAACCACTCAATGACAAGACACACCTCAACTTTATTCCAAGGTTTCTTTGTGTTCCTTCTTCAAAGGAAGGAGAGAAGTCTTTTGGAATGAGCTTACACAAAGCGTCACGGAATATTCGTGAGTATTAACGCAATTTTCTGATTGTTTAATAGTAATCAGCAAGTCTTTGTGACTGACATTCCATAACAGATTGCCTTATTCCAACCTGTTGCACATTAGGCGATGACACAATTAACAAGAGTAAGGTGTGTCCTTTTTCCTCGTTTAAATTAAGAGTGATTATTCCTTTTTCTTTTTTGCATCTGAAGTATCTGCCTTTTCAGCTGGTTCTTTAAAAAGAACAGCAGCCACAGCTTTCTCTAAATAGGTAAAAGGGTCACTTGTGTTACTGAGATACATGAGGACCTGAAGAAATGCTCCCACACAAGTTATGCCCAGAAGAACTTCTGCTGTAGTGAAGGCAACCATGCACTTCTGTACCACAATGAAGAGGATACTTCCAACAATTGAAAGTCAAGGCATTCAGTTACAAGAACTTGCAAATTAAATTGCCAGATCCCATTTTCATTTCTGGGTGAGGAGAGGAGGCCAAGGGTAGTATTTGGGGAAAGATACAGAAAATTGCTAAAAGGTGTAGGAGGGATTAAAGAGGGAGGCAAAGTGAGGTAAGTGCACAAACCTATCCCCAACCTTCCCCCCCCCCCCCCTGCCTTCCATCCCCCTTCCCATTCCCTACACTCACCGCTTTTTTTTTCAGTGTTCACCACTTTCAGTTCCTTTTAAGTTTACCATTTAAAAGGAAGTTGGTTGCAAAAACTTTGAGACAATACAATGAAGAAAAAAAAGGGGGGGAAGCATAGCCCCTTCAACCCTTAAATTCCCATGAGTGACCAACACAGAATTTCTCCTCACAATGTCAATACAATATCATGAATTCAAGTGACGAGAGGAAAGAAAAATATCTATTGAGGAATTATTAGTTGATCCAATACCAAATACTCCAAACTATAATATCATCATGAGAATTGTATGACTGACAGTGAGGTGAATCACTAAATAGATCTGGGAGTTAAAGGGTCAATCACTCCTTTCCCCCACTCATTTCCCTTACATCTATCCCCCTCACCTCTGTCCAGGATCAGGGGTAAAACAATTAATTGCTAATCAAATAATGTTAATTCACAATGATGGGTACAGCACTTCATTAACAGCATCCACTTTTCCTTGAGCAAACATAACCACTGCATGGTCTTAAAGTCTACTTCCAGCTCCTAAATTACTGAATAGAAAGATATTTGAAAAAAATTGGGTTAATCCATTGATTGTGTATTCTGATCATCTAGGTGAGAGTAATTTTGAAAAGTAAAGTAATTTGTTTGCAATCCTGAGTGACAATTTGAAGACCTGATTGTCTTTTTCATCAGAGCATCCAAAGATCTACCAACTCTTTCACTCCCAGGAACAAGTGACCAAGACATAATTTCTCCTTACAGCATCAAGACAATATCAAGCAGCCAAGTGATGAGAATAAAGAAAAAGATTTCTACTAGAGGATTATCATTTGATCCAAGACCAAATTCTCAGAACAAAATTTTAAAAAAATGTACAGCAGATAGTAAAGAGAATTTATATCAAAATATTGGGAGTAAAAGGGTTAAGTGGACTTAGGGAAATATTCAGAAATATGGAAGCTATATTGTCACGAGAAAATTGTGTGCAATTAACACTTTTCCAGTCAAACAATCAGATTCTGAAAGACTGTCAGCTGATTCAATGTACAAGGTTTGAAAATCAAAATGTGCTAAATTATTGTACTGAATGTAAGTAAAGATGAGTTAACAATTAATCTGATACTTGAAACTAGATGACATTTAACTTTTTGCAGTTCCTATGGGTGGTCAATTTTTGCAGGAATATTTTATAGGAAGAAAATTTGACTAAAGCTGAAATTATGCAGCTTTCACTTATAATGCTTCTCTTGTACATTATCAAACTACAAAATCAAATGATGAAAAATTTCCTCTCTTTTAGAGATGCCAGTGTGAATTCTTACATGGTATCAAATAAATTCTTTTATATATAATTTATATGTAATACAAATGAATCCATCAGACTCAGGCAAGTCTTTTGGTGTATAATATGTGTTCCTATGGATCTGAAAAGGAAATCACTATTGACTTACAGTCAAATCTGACTGAATGCATAAAGCAATCTTCCCAGTAATGAACACTACTTAAGCAGCAGTGAGGCCTTATTTTCACTATTAATACTGCATGCTTTAGTAGAGTGTTTTTCACTGAGAAAATGACTTTCATATTCATTTCTTAATTCACAGTTCACAAATTTGATTTTCATTTATTCATCACTTCACAGGTTTATCACAAACCAACATGATAATAATCAGCTCCCAGTTTATTAGCTTGTTAGCTCAGTTGGTAGAGCATTGCACTGGTTTAGAGGTCATGAGTTCATTACAGGCCTGAATTTTTTTTTCAGGTCTTATTTTCATTCCTGATCAAGTAGTGTTTGTTACTGGAAGATCACTTTTATATTCATTACTTAATCCATGTACAGTCCTTATATATGATTTTCCTACATTCACAAATATAATCACATATTTAAATCTGCATATCTGTTTTAGAGGGTCAATGGCCTGTTTGCTAAAGAATGAACTTCTTCAGAGATGGAATAGAAGACCTTTAAAGGTGACCTACAGGCATTTGCAGTTCTTTACAGACTTTTGTTATTTATTTATCTGAGTGTGTACACTTTACAAAAGAAGATATGACTTGTATCTTTAGTACCATGTATTTATGGGTTTCAAAATTTTCCCCAGAACATAGTGTCACCTCTTTAGTGGACCTTGAAAATTAATTGGGGAAGGATAATAAATAATAGAATCATTTTTAGAAGTGCCTCTATTTTCTGTGAATTTTCTTGCTACTTTAAGAACTTTGCAGATTGTTCTAAAAACACATGGCAACTATTTTTTTTTAATTGATCATTTCAGGATGTACGACAAGAGGAAAGAAGAGCACTTCCCTTGCAAAATGGCTTTTGGAATTCCTAGGAATTCCTAGGAATAAAGGTGTGAATTTTCACGGTAAATTTGGACTGGGAATTCCTTGGAATTCCTAGGAATTCCCAACCATAACAACTCTGGTTCTAAAAACCTAGAAATTCCTAGAAATTCCCAGAAATTCCCAAAAATTCCCAGAAATTCCAAGTTTATAGCCAACAGGACTTGGAATTCCTAGGAATTCCTAGGAATTCCAACTCAGAGAACCAATGACTTTCCCTGAAAAGCTGTAAATCTAAAAAATTCCTAGGAATTTCTGGGAATTTCTAGGAATTTTTGGGAATTTTTGGGAATTTTTAGGAATGTTTAAGAATTACGGGGAATTTTAAGCAAAAATTTGAGGCTAATGATATAAAATAAATACTTTAAATTAAAAAAACCCAGCTAAAATTCAAGTATTCAATGAAATTTATTTAGAAGCTTAATTAAGGCTTACATGTAAAATATTTTTGATTAATTATTAACATCAATGTGTGGTAATATTAGGATGGAATTTGATTTATTTTTCTTTTCTTGAAAACTTCATACAGATTAATCCTCAATTACAGCTATTCATATAAAATAGTTCTAATCAATCATCAAATTTGGTTTGACACAAATTGTGAATAAAATCTGTTGATTCTTTTCCATAAAATACAATATCTTAAGTTATATTTGAAAACCAAGCACTCTTGGGAGTGAAGGGGCTAATTACAGACAAATAAAATTGATTTTTTGATTAAAATCTTGTTGTAACTGTAACAATAAATTAGAATGAAGTTATCCTAAACTGCAAACTTAGTTGCTGTTTGTACTGTTTGTATTTTTTTTCCTGGGCTCACAATGAGTTGGCCTTGAATGAGGTTGTCAACAAGAACCTTGACCATTTTGTATCTGGATTCCTTGACATCTGAATTTGAAAAAAAAAAATATATATATTAAAATATGTATATTTAAAGCTCAGACCAGGCTTTTAAGATGGCTATGAGGAAAGGGCATTCATTGGATTCTCAAATGGAGAAATCTCTGTTATATTGAGTGACTTTTATATTGGAGTTAGTACATCTCTCTCATGGATTTTACTAAAAAAGGGCTGAATACATTATTTTGTTTTTACCAAGGAGGGCTTCTTTATGTACTAAGGTTTGTTTAATAACAGTTCCTATTTTGAATCTTGAATGTTCCCAAACGTGACTAGAGGAATCTTGAAACCTTACTGATAGGTTTATTTCATTGTAAAGCATAATAAGCTTAAGAAACTGCGGCATGCAAGTGACCGATTCGATTCTCAGAATTATTCTAGTTTCAGTTGCGCCGAGCGTTATGTAAGCTTAATTCAACCCGCTACATCTATTCTTTTATAAGATTTTGATCACGTAACGAATATCGCAATTTTTACTCACCACAAACTTTCAAAATCGTAGCTTTACAGACGGCCATTCGACCCTTGTTTGTACCAGTCAATATGTCAACTGTCGTCCCTTCTTTTAACTCCACGGCGCCAACGACTTTCTTTTCTTTTACAACACTCACGCTATTCTCGTTTTCCCATTGAACCACAATAAAAGCTATCTTTAGAAATGTTATATTAAGCAAAACAGTTGAGAAAAGCGATCAACCGATGAAAAGTACATTCAAAGATGAGCGCCAAATGGAGTCTTCTTTGTTTCCGATCACGGGCATGATCACGTGGATCTTTTAGGACTTGTCATTGGCTAGCCGAGAGAATCCGCTGGCTTGCCGATTGCAGTGTTAGGAGAAGTACCCAACTTTATTCTGACTTCTCCGACCGGTTCTCTGCTTCTAGAAGATGGATAGCTTGGTGATATAAATAAAGATGTGAGCTCACTCTATGTAGAAATAATCGACAAGAATCGATCGTATTACAAACGCACGATTTGTGGCCGAAAGTTGTCGAGGAAACAAAGACTCGAAACTCACTTGAGTTGTGTTAATGGCAAAGGTGAGAAATAACACAAGCCAATCACAGTTTTGAATGCGACTACAAATCGTCTTTTACCCTCATATTTATAAAAGAAGGATACCACATTCGGAAGTGTAAGAGATACATAGATGATCCCAGTGTACCAGTACCTAAATCTACAAAGCTTGACCGTAGAAAGCGTTCAGCAACACGTTCCAACACCGCCATCTCGATTCCTCAGTCAGTCGTTTCCACTGAACTTAAAGCAGTATTGACAACAGAGTAGAGTGCGTCTTACAAAGGAGAAACATTTGTACAAGAGACAGGAGTAGCTATATGCGATTACAGAGGTGCGTTGGAACTCTGGTCCACAAATAGTTATGCACTGCCCGAAGTATAAAACAATTTTGTTGATAGCTGACAGACAGAGAAGAACAACAAGTAAACTTAAGAGCTGTTATTACTGAAGTGTGACTAGCATTTTTCATTTTTATATAAAGAAGGACTTGTTAAATTTGCACCAAAAATAAAAAGATGTAATATTTTTTTGGGAGATCCAGTGATTGGGACATTTAAGAAATTAAGTTATGAATCAAAGGAAACTTGGTTGGTACTTCTCACTACTAACAAGTCTTGTTGACAAATATTTTCAGATCAGAGTTTCAAATAAAGTAAATTGAAGACGTCATATAAAAGGTGTTTTTCCTCAAAGGGTACATTGACTACCTCTGTCTTGTCTGCATGCCAAATGTTTGCAAAGTGTGTGGATGATCCACAAGTATTGGAACTCTTACAAAAATGTTTTGTAAGAATAAAAACAGCAAAACAAATTACAGCAATTATTCATGAAAATAGAGCAAAAAACTGAAAAAAAGCAGCAACAACAATCATGAAAAAAGAAAGATTAATTAGGTGTTGAATTTGTTTGTCTAAGGCATGAAATTTCTACTAAAAGTATTGTCAACAAAAAGTCTCTGACAGCGTTTGAGGCAACTGAGCTTGACTGTTCCAAGGTTTTCTAACAAAGGCAACCAGTAATGTAGGTTAGGGAAGTAAGATAACAATGTAATTATTGTTAATTATTGTGGAAGTTGGCAATTTCCATTTAACATAACTGACAGCTGGTTCATGAGAAAATCCATATTAATGTAAAGATTTACTAAAACTTAGTTTGAGTAATAAATTTCATGATCTTTAAGTTATAAACATGTACACGTATGTATATCTCTTGGTAAGTTTTGTATAGCATACCTTTTATTGAGCCAAAGTTTTAAGCCTCTGAAATTACTCTTTTTCTTAAAACCTTCACATTCAAGGTATTGAGAATTTCTTAGAATTTATGTGGACCTCAGGGTATTAAAATTGCCTCAAATTCAATTCCCAGCAATTCCCAAGAGTTCCACACTTCTTAAATTATAGGTAGTTTGTAAAGCTGAGAATTCTTAGGAATTCCTAGGGATTCCAAGTCCTCACAAAACTGGAGTCTTCCTTTCCCAGAAATTCCCATTAATTCCAAGCTTTTTAAATCAGAGTTAATTTGCATAGATGGGAATTTTTTGAGAATTCCTAGGAATTCCTAGGAATTCCCAGAAATTCCCAGAAAACTGGGAATTCAGTTTGCAAGGGTCATTTGCATAATTGGGAATTTTTGAGAATTCCTAGGAATTCCCAGAAAACTGGGAATTCAGTTCGTAAGGGTTCTCAGGTTTATCACAAACCAACATGATAATAATCAGCTCCCAGTTTATTGGCTTGTTAGCTCAGTTGGTAGAGCATTGCACTGGTTTAGAGGTCATGAGTTCAAATGCTGTACAGGCCTGAATTTTTTTTCAGGTCTTATTTTCATTCCTCCTCAAGTAGTGTTTGTTACTGGGAAGATTGCTTTTATATTCATTGCTTAATCCACATACAGTCCTCATATATGATTTTCCTACATTCACAAATATAATCACATATTTAAATCTGTATATCTGTTTTAGAGGGTCAATGGCTTGTCTGCTAAAGAATGAACTTCTTCAGAGATGGAATAGAAGACCTTTAAAGGTGACCTACAGGCATTTGCAGTTCTTTACAGACTTTTGTTATTTATTTATCTGAGTGTGTACACTTTAAAAAAGAAGATATGACTTGTATCTTTAGTACCATGTATTTATGGGTTTCAAAATTATCCCCAGAACATAGTGTCACCTCTTTAGTGGACCTTGAAAATTAATTGGGGAAGGATAATAAATAATAAAATCATTTTTAGAAGTGCCTCTATTTTCTGTGAATTTTCTTGCTACTTTAAGAACTTTGCAGATTGTTCTAAAAACACAAGGCAACTATTTTTTTTTAAATTGATCATTTCAGGATGTACGACAAGAGGAAAGAAGAGCACTTTCCAGCAACAGTTATCACATACATAGTATATTCCAGGTTTGAAAATTCCCTCTAATGCTTAAATATACACAGTAATATATCATTAATATTATAATATTATTGGTACATGATTCAGATAAATGTGTATCTCTAGCATGATTATTTACAATGAGAAGGTTGAGTACTATTTCACTCCCCTTTCCCCCAGGCCCCTTCTCATTCCATCCCCCCCTCCTATCCACTAAGGTAATGAGAGTTATTAGGGGAAATGATAAATGATCACCAATTATCACCAACTAAAGAATCTCTTGACTGTTTTACAAATTCTCCCCATCAGCACCTTGAGAAATGCATAGAGAACAGAAGGGAGAATATGTATACTGATGTTAGGGCATTTAAAGGGTTAAATAAGAAAAGTTTGCTGGGAACAATTCACAATATGAATGTACAATGAAAGTTTGTATTCTTTTGTTTCTGTAGTCTACATAAATTTCTAAGATACCATTTAAAGTTTTAGATGCTCCAGAACTGCAGGTAATTGGTTTAATCTATGTCTGACAGTGAGAGCAGTGCCACTTTTATATTTATTTTACTTTTTTTTAACAAAACTTACAAGAGACAAAAAAAAGTCACCTTCTTGGCAATGAACTTTGATGGATTTTTATCTTTCATACTTTGAAAGCCGATATATCTTTTAGTGTATATATACAATTTACATGCATTTAGTGTTTTCTTTCTTCCTTTTTTTTTTGGTGAGCTGCTCATTAAAAAAATATTCTTTTGTTTTATGCTTTACATGCTCCATTTAGTTGGGAAAAATCACCAGGAAAGCAGATCAGCATGGCTGCAATATTGCCAAGGTTAAATGTTAAAACACTGTCACTTGTACCAATTAGAATGACTGCATGAGACAAAATAATATATTGCAAAACAAAATCATGATATCTATGATTTCTCCACAGGTTACCAAACTCTGTGATCTTGCATCTGATAGGGACTCTGTGACATCTGTGTCTTGGACAGAAAGGGTAAAGTGTTAAGTCAACTTTGATCCTTTGATTTTTTTTCTTTGTGCATAGTAATTATCAATGCTAAAAGGAAAATCAAGGAAAATGGAATGAAGAATCCTTGATGCCAGATTTATTCAACCAAAACTTAAGAATTATACATGCCTGAGTGGTGATTTTGTTTGTTTATTTGCAGAGTGGTCTGGTTGCTGTTCGGACTCACAAGGGTGAATTGTTCAAATCTGGGATGCACATGCACAAAAGAGAGTGTCTTAACTATTGAAGGACATACTGCTATAGTTGGTAAGCAGGCTAAATTTATAGTCAGTTCCATTTTTATTGCTTGAAGCAGAGTACTAGTTTTCTTTTGTGGAGTAGATCAAAAGAGATCTCTCACATGCAGCTGAAACCAATTGAGGCAAATGAGGATATCACTGTACAGCAGGAATATTCTTAGTCTTTGCAAATGAATACTTTGAAGTGTTGCAAACAAATTGTGACTATAGTAAAATAAGAATGTAGAGATTTAACCTTTTAACTGCCATGAGTGACCAAGCCAGAATTTATCTTTACAAAAGCAGACAAGAGATGAGAATGCAGAAATATATCAGTTTGCGGATTACTGGTTGATCCAATACCAAATTCTTGTAATTATTAACATGATATGGTATTAAGCTGACTTGTAATAAGTTTAGCAGAGTTAGACAACCCTATTTGATTCATGACAGCGAAATCGGGAGAGCCTTCAGAAGAAAAATATAAAGAAACCGCGCCCAACGCTCTGGAAAAATAAATCTGTGTACTTATCTATCTTTTGCTAATAGAGTTGTTTTGGATACAACAAGATTTTCATTTCTGACATGGCAGTTAGTAATTGTTAAGTCAATTTCAATTGTTTTCGTCAGGAATCCAAGTCAGAGCTCCATCTGTTCTCCAGAATAAAATGATGTTTACCCTAAGAATTGGATCTTTAACGTAACAGTTATTGGATTTGTACCAGGATACAATAATATGATTATCACTTAAGCATGAGTACATCGTATTTTTGTGGAGGGTAGTTGTCTTCGTTTAAGACGAAGCTTTCTTTCTAAAAGCTCTCTTCATTGATTCTCCCACTTTTTTCAGTCATGGGTGTAAGAATTTAGCATTACCTCAGACTTTTTCTCTCCTTTTTGAAAAATTGTCCCCGATAAACTGTGTCTGTCAAAATGTATGTAAATCAGTAGTCCGATGTTGTAAATTTTGGCTAGAATGTGATGGATTGTATTTTGGATTGAAATAAGGGTATTTCATTTTATCGAAAATATATTATTTAAAACAGCTGTACTCGACAAAAGCTGACAACATCTCGTTTCAAACCTGTAACCCAGCCATGGAAATCGGCAACACGATTATAATTACTACTGACGTTTGATGTATTTTGCTCTCTACAGCTAACCACAACATCCTCTCGTCACGCAATGTTTTGTTTTTTGTTAAGGAGGATTTCGTGATGACCCAGTCACGCTGGCAAGGCCAGAAGTACCTCATGAGATGAAGAATGATTGAGTAACATGATTTTAGAAAAACATTTTAAAGGACATTTTACAGAAAGGATGTAAAAAGGAGTTAGATTGCGTGGTTAGATGAAGTGGAAATCTGCAATGATATATGACCAGAAATGGTGAAAAGGAATAAACGAGAATTGTTCAACTTAGATAAAAAGTTCAGCTCCAGGTACTAAAGCACAAATGTACCGCAGCTTTTTCCCACTTGAATCCCAGGCCTATGTTCAAATTAGCCCTCCTTGGATCGAGAGAGACCTGGAAACGAGGCTCAACCAGGTTGATGAACGTTTACTCTTTACACCAAAGCTGCGCGAACTGAGGGACCGGTCATTATTTATTTGCGGGGGAGGGGAGTGTTCTGATAAAATTTATCTGATCCCCACCATGAGGCTCTGTCATATTCTTATGATCCCCCTCACAGTGGCAGTCAATTTTTATATTCCCTCCTCTATACTGATTTAATTTATTTGATATAATTTTCATTATAGTAAGTTGATAAAGACTTTTTCCGTTTCGTTCTTCCTGAAAAGCATGTGATCCACAAAATTCCCCCCCCCCCCTCTCCCAGTCAAAGATTAATGACCGGCCCTTCGGGTAATGGTGAAGTTTTTTGTTCCTGATCGACCGTTGTGATAACCCTGGTTGTAGTTTTACAACACTCAATCCAAATGCCCCCCACACTTCTCAGACTTACTTTGACGCCCCTAAATTTGATGCCCTATAGGTGCAACTGAATTAGACGGCCACCAATGTTTGTATTGTCGATATTGGTAAACCACAAATGAAAGCACCTAGGGTAATGTAAATTAAAGAAATCCTACTTCCGGCCTCTTTTAGGAAAACTGATCGGTCAGGAACGTTATTTGCGTCGAAACCGAAAACAATCAGATAGCGTTCTTTCTCGGTAACCTAAAACTTCTGTTTGGATTTATTTCATTTTTAAATGAATATGACTTTTTTCAGTCATGGGTGTAAGAACTTAGCGTTACCTCCGACTTTTTCTCCCCTATTTGAAAACTTTTCCCCGACAAACTGTGTCTATCAAAATGTATGTAAATCAGTAGTCCGATGTTGTAAACATTGGCTAAAATGTGATGGATTGCATTTTGGACTGTACGAGGGCTATTTCATTTTATCGAAAATATATTAATTAAAACAGCTGTACTCGACAAAAGCTGACAACATTTCGCTTCAAACCTGTAAACCAGCCATGGAAATCGGCGACACGATCATAACTACTACTGACGTTTGATGTATTTTGCTCTCTACAGCTAACCACAACATCCTCTCGTCACGCAATCTTTTGTTTTTTGTTGAAGAGGATTTCGTGATGACCCAATCACGCTGGCAAGGCCAGGAGTACCTCGTGAGACGAAGAATGATCGGGTGACATAATTTTAGAAAAGCACGTTCAAGGACATTTTACAGAAAGGGTGAAAAAAGGAGTTAGATTGTGTGGTTAGATGAAGTGGAAATCTGCAATGATATATGACCAGAAATGGTGAAAAGGAATACACGAGAATTTTACAACTTAGATAAAAAGTTCAGCTCCAGGTACTAAAGCATAACAATGTACCGTAGCTTTTTCCCACTTGAATCCCAGGCCTATGTTCAAATTAGCCCTCCTTGGATCGAGAGAGACCTGGAAACGAGGCTCAACCAGGTTGATGAACGTTTACTCTTTACACCAAAGCTGCGCGAACTGAGGGACCGGTCATTATTTATTTGCGGGGGAGGGGAGTGTTCTGATAAAATTTATCTGATCCCCACATGAGGCTCTGTCATATTCTTATGATCCCCCTCACAGTGGCAGTCAATTTTTATATTCCCTCCTCTATACTGATTTAATTTATTTGATATAATTTTAATTATAGTAAGTTGATAAAGACTTTTTCCGTTTCGTTCTTCCTGAAAAGCATGTGATCCACAAAATTCCCCCCCCCCCTCTCCCAGTCAAAGATTAATGACCGGCCCTTCGGGTAATGGTGAAGTTTTTTGTTCCTGATCGACCGTTGTGATAACCCTGGTTGTAGTTTTACAACACTCAATCCAAATGCCCCCCACACTTCTCAGACTTACTTTGACACCCCTAAATTTGATGCCCTATAGGTGCAACTGAATTAGACGGCCACCAATGTTTGTATTGTCGATATTGGTAAACCACAAATGAAAGCACCTAGGGTAATGTAAATTAAAGAAATCCTACTTCCGGCCTCTTTTAGGAAAACTGATCGGTCAGGGCCGTTATTTGCGTCGAAACCGAAAACAATCAGATAACGTTCTATTCCGGTAACTTAAAACTTCTGTTTGGATTTGTTTCATTTTCAAATGAATATGGCTGCGGCAAGACAGCATGTCGATGAAGGAGAGTTAAACTTTGTTTTTAAGCGCCTTGGGGAGCGAGGAAAAGAAGCTGAGTTAGTGAAAAAGAAACATGATCACGTCACGGGGCCAATCTTAGAGCAGCTGACGGAATACTCCATGAAACTTACTGAGAATCAAGTCATAGTCCGACCCTATGGGAGTGCAGCTGAAGATTTAAAGTGTCTTTCACCCGATGATTATGGGGATATGGACATCATGGTGTTCCCAAGCTCAGAGGCCCTTTTGATTCACGAAGAAATGGTCGATCATCCACTGGAAAGTCCATTGCATGTGAGAATCAGAGCAGGCGATCATCCCGTGTTGCAGTCGTGCCTTGTAGAAGATACAGAATACCTGGCCACTTCAGCGTTGAAGAACTTCCATCCCGCAATTTATGGAAGCAAAGTGTCTAAATTGATTGATTATTTTATACGTGGCTTGTCAATATTCTCCAAGGATGATCCCGAACAATTTCTTCCAATTGTTGCGAGTTGGAAGAACGAGAAAACCAGCCCAGCTTTTTCCATTCATTGCATGGAATCGGTTGATACCTTCCAACGAGAATTGGAAAACATGACGGAGACAAAGCGGCTGCATAGTTTGAACAGCGCTGAGTATGAATGGTTCGTCAGTGCGATATGCAGCGCTAGGGGAGTTGAATATACGAGAGAGCATGCCGCAGTTCTAGATGAGTATATACAGTATACGAGTGAGTTACAGGAGTCGCTGACCAAACGTGATATTTTAGAAGGCTTTCCAGCTTACCACCAAGAAGTGACGTCGGGCGATAAAGTTAAAGAATTTAAAGCCCGAGTAAAAGCTATTGAAAGCCGATCACCAAAGAAGACCACACTTGAAAATGATAGAAACGGTCATTCAAGGGAAAGCGAAGGAAGATTACGGAAGCAATTTCTCTGCCATTTCCTCGAGAGAGAAACTGAAGTCAAAGAGCCCTCTGAAAATGACACAGCCCATTTTAAACGAAAGAAAGGAATTGATCTTGTGCCCGCCCTGAAATCCCGAGGATGGCCGAACTCTGCACGAGACTGGATCGAAAGAGAGCGGAAATGGCCTTCCATCAAAATGGTGACTAAGATCATTGACGAAGGTTACCACCTGGTTGTCAAATCTCCAAAGTACAGTGAAATTCCCGAGTGCGACTTCAGAATCTCATTTTCTCATGCAGAGTACCTGTTAAGCCAAGAGATCAACGACATCCAACGCGAGTGTTACCGTTGTTTGAAGAAATTGCACCGTGCCTATCTTTCCAGTCCAGCAGGTTTGGTGTCGTTCCACCTCAAGAACCTCTTTTTGCAAACAATAGAGGAGACTGGTGCCGAGATGTGGACCGCGGACAAAAGAGCCGAGTGCATGATGAAGCTCCTCGAAAACCTGCTAAAAGCTTTGAAAGACAAAGACTTGCGACATTTCTTCGTGAGATCCTACAATCTCTTTGGTGTTGATTACATTGTCAAACCCGAAAATCTGACATCTTTGGCCGAAGAGATGGAGAAGATTATGGAAAATCCGTTGGACTTTTCCCAAGCGTTGATCCAGCAGAGTGAAGACAAGAAGAAAATTCAAAAGGAGACATTCGAAAAACAGAACAAGCAAGGGGTGCCTTCAACATCGGGACACGGAAGAACAGCTGAACCAAGCGGCGACAATGAAAACCGACTTCCAAATCATCGATACCATGACTTGCAAGATATGTACCTCCAAGTCGGCAAAGAGTTAGTGGAAAAAGCTTTAAACGGAGATGAAATCCATGATCCTCTTGAAAGATCCCTGGTAAAAGATCTCAGAGAAATGATGCAAAGCCATGATTTTCAGACTGAATATTTCCTTCAAATGTTGAGAAACGGCTGGTTCAATGCTTATTTCAGGATCTGCCTCAGTACCGAGCTGGAAATGAGGCGCCGAATGCTTGATGCAATCCGCGGTGATGTCGAGATGTGGAAGTACCTTTTGAGGCAGGAAGACCTGGCGTCAGGGAACGAAAAAGCCATAGCCAACCGAATGCTGGATCCATCCAATGAGGATCGTTTTGACCTAAGCAACATCCTTCCAGCTGGTGGATTAGTTAAGGTCATGCGCATGTTCCTCAATGGTGTTGACCACGTGCCACCTCAACCAGCGCATGTGCAGACGACCCAGGCTGTGGATGCTATACCTTTAGACTGAACTGAACTATTAACCGAGGAATATAACCCACTTCGCTTTTAGAGTTACTCCCTTTTAATTGACTGCCTAAGGAAAAACACGCTGGAATTTCCTACATAATGCGATGTACCCACTAACGAGACAAAAACAAGTATGCGTTTTTCTTTATGATAAAACGTTTTTTCGCTTTTTAACTGACCATAAACTGTTTTATGATTTATTTTAAAAAGGTGTACTTGGCAACTGTTGCCAAGTACTTTAAGGCGGCGCTCGATTCCGTTTGCATGGTTTTCGCGTTTGTTACAGATTTCAAGCATGTATGCGTTTTTGCTATTGGAACTCGTCGTATGTGCCTCAGTGGCTGTTATGTATTTTTCCTGTTTTGATTGACTTTGGTTGCATAAATTTTCCTTAATTTGACTTAAGAAACAACCTATATAATGCTCTCGATAGTATTTCTAGACACCAGTCCCGAGTCCATTCCAGAGTTCATTCTAATATTTCCAGCTGGCCTCTAAATACTGGCTGCAAATTGGACACTGAATGCTATTAAAAGGGGAAAGCCGAAAAGCCCAAACAGTTTGGCATTGGTAGCGTGAAAACCGACTTCAAATATGGCCAAATTCGCAAAACCGAACTTTTCGACGTCCTGCCCCCTCCCCCCTCCCCCTCCCTCACCCGCTTTCCCTCCTTATTTTGGCCGAAAGAGGTTGGCCTGGGTGAGAGAATTACTCACCTTCGAAACTGAAAATGCTTTGGACCTGATTGAATTATTTTACGTGCCTTTGTTTCGCTTTTGTTTCGAGTAAAAATGGCTGTGTCGAGACCCTGTGTTAATGAAGAGGAACCGAACTTCGTGTTTAAGTGTCTTGGGGAGCGAGGAAGAGAAGCAGAGTTAGTTAAAGAGTACGACGAAAAATGTCTCAGCTTTATTTTGGCGAAGCTCACGGAGGCCTCGACTAAATTTACCGAAAAAAAACTTGCAGTCCGACCCTATGGCAGTGCAGCGGAAGATTTGAAGTGCTTATCGCCAGAAAATTATGGAGATATGGACATTATGGTATTCCCAACCACAGATAGCTTCATCATTCACGAAGACATGCTCGAATATTTACCAGAAAACCCCCTCTATGTAAGGATCAGAGCAAGCGACCATTCCGTGTTTCAGTCGTGCCTTGTAGAAGGTACAGAATACCTGGCCACTTCAGCGCTGAAGAACTTCGATTCTGCGATTTATGGGAACAAATCGTCCGAATGGCTCGATTATTTGAAATATAGCTTAAGCATAGTCTCCACCGATCATTGTTCGCCCTCTCTTCCGTGGGTCTACGATTGGAAGAACAAGGAAGTAGGCCCGGCGTTTACGATTGATTCCAAGCAGTGGTTTGGAACGATCCTCGAACAACTGCAAAACATGACTGAGTCAAAGAGGGGGTGTAGCTGTGAATTGGCCGATTGGGAAGGGCTGGCTAGCTCGATGTTCAATGCAAATGGAATTGATTACACACGAGAACACGCTTCTGTTATTGAAGATTTACTTCGCTGTGTGGGTGAATCACAGGCTTCGCTGATTGAAAGTGGCCCAGATGGATTTATCCGTGGACTACCCACCTTCTTTCAAGAATTTATATCAAGCGATGAGGTGAAAAGCTTCATAACCCGAGTCCAAGCTATTGAAAGTCGAAAACAAAACGAATGTGGAAGTCGGGCGGAAGCGATCTGTCACGAGGAGACCGGTGTCACGCAACAAAAGTGTCACACTAACGAAGTTGAAAGAAATTCAGAACCTGCCCATTTTGGCCCCAGTGTCACGGCACAAAATCGTAGCGACGCTCAGACGCCTGGCAATCAAGACTTGGAGTCCACCTCTTCTGATGAGATTGACAATACACGAATCCCATACGAGTCAGTGACTGAACAACAAAACGACAGGGAAGGTGCGCGAGAAACGATCGAAAACACCTCAAAACAAGATGGCGGAGTGGTTCAAAAGGAATCCAAAGCAGAATTGAAGAACTCCGGTGAAAGAGAAGGACCGACCCCAAAAGATGCAACAGTAAGTGACAGAGCCAAACATGAGGTGAAATCTGGAGAAAGAGAGAAATTTCATCTCAAACGATGGCTCAACCATTTGATTGGGGAAGAAAGTGGAAACAAGGAGCATCGTATCGAAGAGAAAGACTCTATCACGCGTAAGAGGGGAATTGATCTCGTGCCTGCTTTAAGATCCCGAGGATGGCCGAAGGCTTCACGAGATTGGCTCGAAAGAGAGCGGAAATGGCCTTCCGTCGAATTGGTGACTAAGATCATTGACGAAGGCTACCACCTAGTTGTCAAATCTCCAAGGTACAGTGAAATTCCCGAGTGCGACTTCAGAATCTCATTTTCTCATGCAGAGTACCTGCTAAGCCAAGAGATGAACGAAATCCAACGCGAGTGTTACCGTTGTCTGAAGAAATTGCACCGTGCCTATCTTTCCAGTCCAGCAGGTTTGGTGTCGTTCCACCTCAAGAATCTCTTTTTGCAAACAATAGAGGAGACTGGTGCCGACATGTGGACCGAGGACAAAAGAACCGAGTGTATGATGAAGCTCCTCGAAAACCTGCTAAAAGCTTTAAAAGACAGAGACTTGCGACATTTCTTCGCGAGATCATACAACCTTTTTGGTGTTGATTACTTTGAGAATCCCGAAAATCTGGCATCTCTGGCCGAGTTGGTGAAGAATATCATGGAAAGTCCGGTTGAGTTTTGTAAAGCACTGATCCAGAAAAATGAAGATGATACGAAGCAACTTAAAAAGAATGAACCACAACAAGACAGCGAGCGAGCAGTACCTGGAAGAGCAGCTGAACAAGGAAGCGTCCATGACAACCAAGGAAACAAAGAAATTACGACAGATACTGTGTTGCGCAGCCCTAAACAATGTAGCAACCTACTTCCAAATTATAGATACCATGATATGCAAGATATGTACCTCCAAGTCGGCAAAGAGTTGGTAGAAGAAGCTGTAAACGGAGATGAAATTCATGATCCTCTTGAAAGATCCCTGGTAAAAGATTTCAAAGAAATGATACAAAGCCATAATATTCAGACTGAGCATTTCCTTCAAATGTTGAGAAGCGGCTGGTCCAATGCTTATTTCAGGATCTGCCTCAGTACCGAGCTGGAAATGAGGCGCCGAATGCTTGATGCAATCCGCGGTGATGTCGAAACGTGGAAGTACTGTTTGAGGCAGGAAGACTTGGCGTCAGGGAACGAAGAAGCCATAGCCAACCGAATGCTGGATCCATCCAATGAGGATCGTTTTGACTTAAGCAACATAGTTCCAGCTGGTGGCCTTGGACAGTACCTGCGCATGTTCCTCAATGGTCTTGACCACAGGACACCTCAACCAGCACAAGTGCAGACGACCCAGGCTGTGGATGCTATACCTTTAGACTGAACTGAACTATCAGTAAGGGAAGTGACTTTGTTTTTTGTTTATTTTTTTTAACAGACTGCGTAAGGTTGCAATGTACTTTTGTTTCTTAGATGACGCGCGTTCATATGGAACTTTAAGAAGCAGAAAAAGAAAGCGTTTTGCTTCTTCGGAGTCAATCCTACCATCTTCCGCTTGGTTCTTAGGACGCTTTACTGCTACAGAGCTTTAGGAGACTTATGGCTAGTGTTGTTTTCTTTCATAGTTTATCGCAATTAATGGTACGGGTGCTTTGAGTGTACTCTGCATAGGGGTAGTTCTTTTCGCTCCTTTTTTTTTTCTCGATTACATTTGAACTGGTTGCAATTGTTATTAACTTGATTGCATATTGGTTTATTCTGTGTTGGCATATTATATATCTATCAACAACTACACCAACAAACTGATCAATGAAATTAGAGAAATGGCTTTTTGTTATAACCAGGCAAACTCACACATTCACACAAGGAAAAGAAGAGACAAAAAACCAAAGTACAGAAAGTGATCCCATTGGAATAAAAGACTAAATTACCTAAATTTTATCACCCAATTTCAGTTGCTATTTTGTTTTTCTCTCATTTTTTATGCATTTTTTTAAAAGCTAAATATTTGTGAAAGGAAGAACTGTTTAAATCTGTTGGGGTTCTTCACGTGAAGGAAAGCGCTCTCAAAACAGCAGACTAGTAGGGTATGAAGTAACTAAACTTTAAGTTTCAAAACGACTAGCTAGAAGTATTGAGACGATTACACAAATATACACACACTTGTAGTAAAAAGTGAAAAAATGGCTATCAAAAATAAGTATATTTTGAGCTGTTTCGAGGAAGGTTTTCGGCAAAATGGACAAAAGTGCACGCGATAATCTCGAATAGAAATATGGCTATCCGGTAATCGACGAATTTTAATAAGTAAAATGAATGAATAAACTCATCAAATCCGCTGTGCCTCATCCTTACGATGACGTTCTCTCAGATTTCCCTGAAATCCTGAGGTGAAGGAACTACCATCAATACCCTTCGGGTATATTTCGTGAATTTTTCGCTTTTTTCCTTCAACCTTTCTCGAAACAGCTGTTCATTAGTAAGATATCAGTACATTTAAGTAAATACATTGTCATCTTGAGGGTCTCAAAAATAAGACTATATTAGTGTTCTTCGATAACGTTAGGGTTCATGTGTAAATGTTCAGAAAAAAACTTTACTACTAATAAATTATGATCTCGTCGCTGATGAAATTAAAAAGACGTTTCAGGAATTTTTTTGCATATGTACATCTTGTTTGCCGGACTGGTGACCAATCAGAGAGCACATCAAAGTAACACGAAGCCATTTCAGGATTTATTTCAACATTCACCAAACCACTCAAAGACAACACACCTCAACCTCATTCCAAGGTTTCTCTGTTCCTTTTTCAAAGGAAGGAGAGGAATTTTTCGGATAAGCTTACACAAAACCTCACCACATATTTGTGACAAATAACACAATCTTCTGATTGGTTAATAGCAATCAGCAAGTCTTTGTGACTGACATTCCATGACAGATTGCCTTATTCCAACCTGTTGCACACTAGGCAAGGACACAATTATCAAAAGTAAGGTGTATCCTCTTTCTTCATTTAAATTAAAAGTGATTATTCCTTTTTCTTCTTAGCATCTGAAGTATCTGCCTTTTCAGCTGGTTCTTTAAAAAGAACAGCAGCCACAGCTTTCTCTAAATAGGTAAAAGGGTCACTTGTGTTACTGAGATACATGAGGACCTGAAGAAATGCTCCCACACAAGTTATGCCCAGAAGAACTTCAGCTGTTGTGAAGGCTACTATGCGCTTCTGCACCACAATGAAGAGAATACTTCCAACAATGGATAGTTTGGTGACACTGAAAGAAATCAAAACTTGATAATCAGGGCATTCAGTTACAAGCACTTGCAAATTAAATTGCCAGATCCCATTTTCATTGCTGGGTGAGGAAAAGAGGACAAGGATGGTATTTGGGGAAAGATACAGAAAATCACAAAAGGGTGAAGGAGGAGAGATTAAAGAGTGGGACAAAGTGAGGCAAGTGCACAAACCTGTTCCCAATCCCTCCTCCCCTCACCCCCCTTCCCACTCCCCACACCAACTACTTTTTTAATGTTCAATAAAATGAAAAATCTGAAAATAAAATTGAATACCACCCAGACTGCACATTACCATTCAAAAGGAAGTTGGTTGCAAAAACTTTGAGACAATACAAAGAAGACAAAAAAGCAAGGGGTAGGGAACATAGCCTCTTCAATGCTTTAATTCCCATGAGTGATCAACCCGGATTTTCTCCTCACAATGTCAATACAATATTATGAATTCAAGTGATGAGAGGAAAGAAGAATATCTATTACAGAATTATCAGTTGATCCAATACCAAATTCTCCAAACTAACATCATAAGAATTGTATGGTTGACAGTGAGGTGAATTACTTAATAGATCTGGGAGTTAAATGGTTAATCACTCCTTTCCCCCACTCGTTTCCTCTACATCTATCCCCCTCACCTCTGTCCAGGATCAGAGACAAAACAATTAATGGTTATTCAAATAATGTTTACTCACAATGATGGGTACAGCGCTTCATTAACAGCATCCACTTTTCCTTGAGCAAACATAACCACTGGTCTTAAAAGTCTACTGCCAGCTCCTGAATTAATAAATAGAAAGATAATTGAAAAAAATTGTGTTCATTAATTGATTGTGTATTGTAATCATATGGGTGAGAGTGATTTTGAAAGGTTCTGTTGTATGCGATCCTGAACTTGACATTTTGAAGACCTGATTGTCCTTTTTGTCAGTCAGAGCATCCAAGGATCTACTGACTCTTTCACTCTTAGGAGTGACCAAGACATAATTTCTCCTTACAGCATCAAGACAATATCAAGTAACCAAGTGATAAGAATATTAAGAAAAAGATTTCAACTAGAGGATTATCATTTGATCTAAGACCTAATTCTCAGAACAAAATTTAAAAGAAATGTATTGCAGATAGTAGAGAGAATTTATGTTAACTAAAGATATTGGGAGCAAAAGGGTAAAACAATAAACACTATTCCAGTCAAATAATCAGAAGCTGAAAGACTGCTGGTTCAGTCAATGTACAACATTTGAAAATCAAAATATGCTAAATTATTAATTACTAAGTGTGAGTAAAGATGAGTTAACAATCTGACAATCAAAACTAGATAACAAACCTTTTGCAGTTCCTACTGCTATCATGACCAGCCAAGCATCATGGTAAAGTGTTGATGATATCTCTACTCCCTTGAGAATGTTCTTTGCTCTGTGGGCCTCTTTGACAACCAGAAGAGCAATCTACAAAACACACATCAGATTAAAGGAGGTTAAGTTTTAAAGAAACTGTGGTTCCGCATAGGTGGGAGAGTATAACAGGGAAATTTAGTATTATCAATGTGTTGATAACATAAATTGATAACCCTTTTGCACCTACTGCTATCATGACCAGCCAAGCATCATGGTAAAGTGTTGATGATATCTCTACTCCCTTGAGAATGTTTCAAAGCTGAGATTTTGAGCTCTAGCCCTTTGTCAGAGCAAAGATACATGAGATTAAGGTGATGAGAGGCACTGTGGTCCACTGAGTCCACTGTCTTACACAAGAACAAAACAGTCAAAGATTTAGACAGGGTTCAAATTTAGGCCTACAATCCAGAGTCCTTAGTACTAGTCAGTAGGCTGCTTCATCTTCTACAATTGATAAACAAATAAATTATTGAATAAATGACAGCTACATAATGGACAAAAGGACCAATGAAGAGTGCTTAACCCTTTAACTCCCTTGAGTGACCAAGACTGAATTTCTCCTTACAATATCAATACAATATCAATCAGATAAGTGATGAGAATAAAGAAAAATATCAATTTGGAGATAATTAGTTGATCAAATAATAAATTCTCTGAACTAACATTATGAGAACTGTATGGTTGACAGTAAGGAGAATTACAAATTTGATCTGAGAGTTAAAGGATTAAAACACAGACATGCATGTGAATATGCAGAGGCACAGAAGAATAATATGCAACACTTTAAATATGCTTTTCATTAGATTATTGTTTTGCATTTGCTTTTGTGGGTCAAATAATTTTTTTGTCACCATTTGGATCTGTTCGTTCTTTTTTTTACTTTCTCTTCAAGTAACAATATAATTCAGCCTTTAACTCCCAGGAGTGATTAACATGTAATGTCTCCATATAATTTCCACACATTGTCCAGCAAACAGGTAATGAGAATATCATATTAATCAGGCAGAAGTTGTCATCTTAATGTAACACCAAATTCATGTATCTTATTAACAAGGAAATGTGCAGCAGCTGGAGGAGAGAATTAACAATCAGATCTTGGGAGTTAACGATCAGTCTTGTGAGAACATAATATTTTCTAATAATTTAGAAACTGTTTGTCAAATTAACTTACCCACAATGGCTTCAGCATAAAGACCTTGGTGAACAAATCCAGAGGGCAAAAGAATACAAGATACCTTTATCAAATCAAGAAAAATTTATAATTTCAAAACAAATCATTTGTATCAAAAGTTAGGAGAACAAAACTGCAATTTTCATAAGAAAATGACTTTTAATAACATTCATACCAAATGACAGACAGGATGGCAATTTGTTCCAAATCTGTCAGTGGTGACAGCAAAGAGTTGCCCAACAAGAAGTTTGTCAAAAAGCTCCCAGCAAAACATGTCAATATACTAGAAACCCAGGAAGACATTGGATGGGAATAGGCAAAGGATAGTGCACCTGGAAAAATAAAATACTTGATTTAATGATCCTGCCTAAGAAATTGTTGTTCTAGGTTTAATAGTGAATAGAAAGTTTTCCAGCCAAGTTGCCAATTTCCAAACTGGTCCCCAATTCTTTTCCCTTTAAGCCTTTAATCACTGATGTTTGAGTAGCTTGCGATATTTTATCTCTGTTTTCCAAAAGTTTCAGAAAAGTCACTGGGAAGGCAGCCGCGAAGCCCTTTTAAGCAAAGGGCGTGGCGTCTAGAGTTTGAGAAAATTTTCTTTCCACTGGGAATGGAAAATAAGAAAAAAAGAGAAAAGATTTCTCCTGCGCCAATATCTCAATTTAATCTAGTTGGAAGTTTTCATCTCTATTCGATAGCAATTCTAAAACATTGATCGTAGCAGTTATCAAGAATACTGCGAATTCATCAATAATATTACCTTCTCCCATGCGTAATTTCAAGTTCATAATAATGTAGTGGACACACTGTAAAACTGGCAACATTGGAAGCTTAGCCAGCTGCTCAGCATATGAGTCGAAGATTTCGTAAAACTGATCCATAACGACGCCTAACGACCAGAAGATTGCAGTTCAAAAATGCTGCTAATAACGAAGTAACGCTAAAAGATTATGTTTGGATTACAGGATTAAAATAAATAAACTGATCAATTGAGTCAATATGGTCAGCGGATTAACTCGAACCAATCCCTCGCTAATAAAGAAAAACAAAATGGCCGACATTAACGACGAAGACTTGATGGAAAGTGGCTCTGAAATATCAGATGACGAGGTGAGATTTTGTATTTTGAATAGCTTTATGCCAAAGGATAGGTTCAAATGACTCATTTAAGTTTTCTTTTTGACTGTTTTAGCTTCAAAGAGATTTTGCAAGCGGAAAACTTCAAGTGGGTTTGAACAGAATTCAGTCCCAAACCAAGACACGTGCTCTGTACAACAATGTCGTAAGTTTAAATTTCGTGTTCATTTTGTTCGTATAAGTTTTTTTAAACGAAATTTAAGCTCTTGAAAGGTTTTCAAGCTAAAGATCTGTCCACTTGGTGGCAAACTAGCCACAGAAGCGTGAATATAACGACCGGCCATTTAATCCTTTAACTCACAAGATCTGATTGTTAATTCTCCCCTCTAGCTGCTACACATTTCCTTTTAAATTAGTTAAGAGAATTTGGTGTTAGATCAAGAATAATAACTTCTTCGTGATAAGTTTTAATATTCTCATAACGTGTTTGCTGGATGGTGTATGGATATTATAGGGAGAAGTTACCTCTCAATTGCTTCTGGGAGTCAAATGGTTAACACAAACTTATTTACACTTGCACAGCCTGGCATGAAGCAAAAACTGGAGCAGATCGCTCAAGAGCTTGAATGGGTTGAAAGAATGGATGTCACAGTCACCAGAGAGGAAGATGACGAGCAGGAAAGTTTAAAGACGCCTACAACATCCACAGTTTCCAGTGAGAAAAGTATCCACGATGACTTCCAACGAGAAATGAGATTGTAAGTTAGTTTTAGCATTAGGAAGGGCTACAGATAAACTAGTTTCATATGAATAAAGGAGTAAATTTCTAAAGAAACTGAGGTGCTGTGTCAGTGGAAGAGTATGACAGGGTAATTTATCATTATCAACTGAGTTTATAACATTAATTCAGGCACTGTAAAGAGTTACATAGCTGATGTTTAGAGCAGTAGCCCTTCATTATTGCAAAACACTCTCTCCAATGAAGGGCTAATGCTTTTAAGCATTAAAACAAAGTTTAATTACTAATTAAGCATTAAACCCCAGCTTTGTAACTCTTTACAGTGCCCAATTTACATCATCAACTCAGATGACAATGCTAAATTACCCCTGCTCCAAGTAAACAGTTTCATATGAAGCTAACAATGGTTATTGTATTTTAAGCTACAAGCAGGCACAGGTAGCAGTGAATGAAGCACTTCCTAAACTGAACAAACTTGGAGTGGGAACCAAACGACCTGAGGATTACTTTGCAGAAATGGTGAAAACTGATGATCACATGCAGAGGGTAAATTGAAAGATTATTCTAAGATGTATAGTATTAAAAAATGATTGACTAAAAGGAAAATGGTTAACATGTCACCCTGCCAGTTTTGAAAATAATCCTATGCAAGGAAACAAGCACAAATTGTTTAAGATGCCATCTGAGTTAACCTTTTACTTCCAGAGGTGATTAATATGTAACTGTGGAACACTCTAGCCCGCAGTAATTGGTGTAAGCTGTTGCAGAGTCCCTGCCTGTGTTGTACCATTTACATTTTTTGTTTTGTTTATGTATATTTAATATTAAGTTGGCAAAGCTAATAAAATAACTTCTCCCTGTGATATTCATACATTATTCAGCAAACAGGTAATGAGAATGCTCAACCTATCAGGTAGATGATGGTATCTTGATGTAACCTCAAATTCTCACAACTTATTTACAAGGAAATTTGAAGCAGCTATAGGGAAGAATTAACAACAGATCTTGGAAGTTATTTAGGGTTAAGCTATCCTCTTTCTTTGTTGCTCTTTTGTTTTTAGGTAAGAGCAAAATTACTGAGCAAGCAGAAAGCCATGGAGAGGTCTGAAAAGGCAAAGAAACAGCGAGAGATGAAGAAATATGGCAAAAAGGTATGGACTCTGCATGATGAACCCAAAATCTTGCAATAGCACTTGAGGGAAGTAGCATGTTCATCTGGAGCTGATCCCCATTTCCATTGCTTTCACCCTTTACACCTGAGCATCAGTATCCATATTCTCAATTCTCTTCTCAGTACATTTTGTTTGGTGCTAACAAGGAGAATTGGTATAATGATCAAAGCTCCCTAGGCTGGCAATCATTTCCTTTCTTCTCATGATCTTGATAAACCTTTTAACCCTTAAGGGTGACTAACATCTAATTTCTCCTCACAATATCAGCCCTGAATCAAACATTAAGGTCAGGAGAATAAAGGAGCTGATCACCAACTTAAGAAGCTCTTGATTGTTAGACAAATTCTCCATGTCAGCATCTTAAGAAATGTTTAGAGAACAGTATGGAGAGTATACATACTGATGTTAGGGTGTAAAGGGTTAATATCTAAGCAGTATTTCTGTGAGGAGAAATTAAATGCTGGTCTCAAGTAGGGTTTAAAGAGTCATCTCTATCTTACTTGACAAAAAAATTTGTTACACTGCTCACATATCTCTCCTGCTCCCCCCTCAGCATTTCATCAGATTTCTCTACTAACTGGCTGATACCCTTTAATACTCCTGGGTTAATCCAGGGGTTGTGGGAAATCTGATTTCAGATCAGAAAGTGTTAAAAGAAATTTCAGTTTAATTCCTTTTTCCTACAATGTAATGATTTGATGCTCTTAAAAGGAATACCCAGAATTATCTGAAAAAGAGCTTTTGAACAAAGGAATTAAGTAATTGGAATTAAAATTTTACCCTGGGTCAGCTCCGATTGTCCATCAAACAACTGGCAATGGATCCATTTGTCCGAATGGCAGATAACACTATCCAATGGATAAATCACTATCCGGTGGATAAGTGTTGACAAAACATACTTAGCAGTATCTACCATATCACGATTTATCCATTGGATAGTGTTATCCACCTTTCAAAATACGGGCCTGAGTGGAGAGGAGGATTGTGAAAGTTTACCTCCTGCCCAAGAAAATAACATAATGGCCTGGCTGGGCCTTAGGCCCAGACCTTTCGACCAGGAGTTCAGCACAATGATTGTTCTGCAACTGTGTCTCCCACTGAATTATCCTGGGTATTGGAGGTAAAAGAAGGTTTATCAATTTATGTTAAGTGAATGCAATGTATTTATTAATAATTAAAGAGGGGAAAACTTTTTTTTTATTAATAGGTCCAACAAGAGGTTTTACAAAAGAGGCAGAAGGAAAAGAGAGAGATGATGGAAGCTGTGAAAAACTACAAAAAACGTGAGTTAAAGCTATCATCATCATCATCATAATCACATGTTTATTACTGTGACTTAATTAGGAGTCTGGATGGGTTCAGATTGCCACCTTCCAACAAACTCCCCACAGCTGCCCCCCTCAATGAAACTTGGGAAGGAACTGTAGAAAGAGAAATGAAGAACGTAGGGTGGACATAAGGATGGCTTGACTGTCTGACAACCAACAGAAATCAGTGGCATTCTCTAGCTGAGGCCTTATCTGCATGGAGGCACAGAGAGGCTTTACTAATTGGAATTTCAGATTTAATGTATTTTGGGTATTTTTTGGATTCTATTTGAAGTGGACTCTCCACCACTCTCTGACTAATAAATGAAAGAAAATAAATGTTTTTAACTTCTTAGGTGGCAAGAACACCCCAGTTGATGCAAAATCAACAGCAGGAGGCCCTGATGAATTTCAGATACAAACAGAGAGAGAATCTTCAACCATAAACAAAGGAAAAGTCATTAAACGGTAATTTCTTTGTTTTTAATTATTTTTATGGTTCAAAGTTAAAAATATGGCAAGTTACAAGGCATTAGCTGTGAATCTAGCAGAGCAGTGATGGTGGAGGAGAATCCTCAGAGACACCAAGGATTGTAACCCTGCTGATATTAACGGAGGGGAGTTCTATGAACACTGCACCATCTTTGTTGGGAAAGATACACTAATTCTGGCAGTGGGGAGAGCATCTGTCTTCGTCCTTTTTTAACTTGGACTGGACTCTTGGAGTACTGAAAAAACAATTTTATTATTATTTTTTTTAATACTTTTTTTTTTTTAATTTATTTGGTGCAGTTAAATGCAATTTAATGGAGTTAATAACAAAAAGCATCAGCGTTCTCTAGTAGACAGCGGTCTTTTGCATATGCGCTTGCGTGGGAATTCCATGTTCTCTTCGTTTGAGGCGTTCTTGCGTGTGCTTTGAGCGTAACTTGCAGCGTTGTGAGGAGTGGCAGCTCTTCGTCCAGGCAGTTTTCCCCACCCTTCCCTCCCTCTTTCCACTGTTTATTCAGTGTGATACAGTGTTCCCTTTCCTGTGTGGGGGCACATGGCTGGGTTGCTAGGATTTTCCAGCCATGGGAGATGTCTCAATCCAGGAGCTGGCTGCCAATAGTGGAAGCTCCCGGATGTTTCAGGCACCTAACCTTCCCTTAGCGATACAGTTGTTATGTTCAATATATGTGTGGTTCCAGCATAAAATTTTTATGTTTAATTCTACCAATAGCGGAAAGAATGCAAAGAGAAAAAGGAAGGTACGAAAATTATTATTGTTGAAACTTTGACTGTTGAAAGGAACTTTTTAAATTGGTAGGGCAGTTAATATTTATGATAAATCAATCTGCTGTCTTGTTTCTTGAATAACCAGGATTCCAAATACGGTTTTGGCTTGGCTAAATCTATATATTATTTAGGATAAATCAATCTGCTGTCTTGTTTCTTGAATAACCAGAAAGGAATGAAGAGAAATTCCAAGCAAAGTTTTTCAGACGTGAGTTCGTTCAACTCTTCAATACACAGTAAAGCGCCAAGAGCAAAGGCTGGAAATGCGGTAAGGGATGACGGTGGTAGAAACTATAAGCAGTGTGTCTCTTGTTGTATTCGGTGTAGCAACACAGACGTAAAGCAACTTTTGACAACTGAGTGGCAAAGGGAATTGCCATCGTCAAAGGGAAGGGTTTAGTTTACCAGAAAAAGGTTACCCAAATTAATAAACTGAATCGTTCGTAATTTTGTTCCAGTATCAGCAACTAAGGTGGCAGCTTTTGGGTGCGATTGCAGAGTGTTTGCGGGATTTCTACCTCGACTGTGTACTCTTAAATATTAAAACTCGGGGTTGTGTGGGCGGAGAGAAACTTGCGGCGAACTAGTATGCCATACAGGCAACATAACAAATCTACGGTGTATATTCCACGAAAACCGGCATGAACCCCAGGAATCTGAGATCACCGATCTTGCAATTATTTTAGATTATGAACATTTAGATTTGCGTTTTACAAGGAGCGTAAATGTTTCTGTTTTGTTTAGGGAAAGAAGAGAAAGAACACCCGACCTGGAAAGTCTCGGAGGAAACAGATGAAGAAATGAATATTTGGAATTTGAACTGACGAGGAGAACAATTCAGCAAAAAAAACAGTGCCAGAAATGTTATTGAATTGCATACTTTAACCTTGTTACATTGGAGCGAACAGAGAGCTAACGTTGTGTGAAGGTAGTCTCAGACATTTCCTGATAGAAAGTGACAAACACAACGTCATAATGGTGAAAGCCGAAAGCTTTAATATTGGCTCTCATGTTCGGTTATCATTGCAACTGGTAATTAGAGCAAATTCTTCCGACGAAAATTAATTAAATGCTCCTAAATTAGATTTCGCAACAAGCGGATTGAAACAAACTTGACGTCTTACCTGTGTTTATTCCGATTCAAAATAATCTGTTAATTAGTGTCAAGCATACCGTCGGAAGTAAACAAATTCTCGTTAATCACATCCTCATCAAGACATCAAACGGTGTAAACACTCAGTCATGCAGAAGTTTGCGAACTTCTCGATATTTTTTAAACAGGTAATAACCTTTAAGCCCCTAAGATTGACTAACATCTACTTTCTCCCTACAATATCAGCCCTGAATTACATATTAAGGTCATGAGAATTAAACAAATAATCACCAACTAAGGTTGATTGTAAAACAAATCCTCCTTGTCAGCACCTTAGGATATTTGGAGAACAGTATGGAGATATCTTGTCTATCAACCAATTAGGACTAATTTGTTGTCCTAATTAGTTACCTTTGTGAAAATTAACGTAGGCACGAACGACGTGAATGACACCAAACCGATTCTGATGTAGCCGATCCAAGTGTTTTGATTAATAAACTTTAAGCTATTAATTAGTACCAGCTGTGTTAAAGGCACTACTTACTTCTTTGTTCATGATTAATTTTCCTCTATAGCAACGAACGTGGCGTCAAACAGATGTCAACGTAGTTCATAAATTTTTTTTTGGCTGATGACAATCGTGTTATACTCGGTCAATTACAACTATTAGTACCAGCAGTAAAAGAAGGTAGAATTTCCACCTCCTTCCTTCAAACCATAATTATAAATATACATGTTTTAATACCGATTTTAAAGACGGCTGCCAAAGTTTTCACTTCATGTTCCTTTTGTCAATTAGCGTTAATCACCAGCACGGTAATTACAATTTGTTGATTTATTTCTGCACGTGACGCTCCAGTGACAACTTATTTTTATTTGGTTCACCATTTGAACGCTCAACCATGACCTTTTAATTATTACAAATTGTGTCGGAATCGGTTTTCTTCAATCGTTAATTAACTTTCGCACCAAACATGCAATTAAACGTTCAAACAAACTGTTTAGAGGTTATTATGTTCACCGCTAATTAATACTAATTGTGTAAGTATCAGCTTTGATTTAGCCTGTTAATCAAATTTCGCGCCGAGCATCAACCTTGACGTCATACGCTCTAGCAATAGCAAATGAATAATTCTTTTCAATCCGAACACCTCTCCCTGAAAAATATTAATTAGTACTAATTGTGTCGGCCTCGGTCTTTGTAGACTGTTAATCAACTTTCACACCAAACATCAATCTTGACGTCATACGATTCAGAAATGCATAATTCTTTTCAATTCGAAAGCCCATCCCTGAAAAATATTAATTAGTACTAATTGTGTCGGCCTCGGTATCTTAAGACTGTTAATTAACTTTCACACCAAACATTAACCATGACGTCACTTGATTTGAAAATAGCAAATTTATAATTCTTTCAATTCGAACACCCCTCCCTGAAAAATATTTATCAGTACTAATTGCGTCGGCCTCTGTCTTTGCAGACCGTTAATTAGCTTTCACACGAAACATCAACCATGACGTCACATGATTTAAAAATAGCAAATACATGATTCTTTCAATTAGAACACCCATCCCTGAAAAATAGTAATTAGTACTAATTGAGTCGGCCTCGGTCTTTGCAGACTGTTAATTAACTTTCACACCGAACATCAACCATGACGTCACATGATTTGGAAATAGCAAGTGTGTTATTCTTTCAATTCGAACACCTTTACCTGAAAAATATTATTTAGTACTGATTGTGTCGGCCACGGTGTTTTAAGACTGCTAATTAACTTTCACACCAAACATTAACCATGACGTCACATAATTTGGAAATAGTAAATGTGTTATGCTTTCAACTCGAACACATATCCCTGAAAAATATTAATTAGTACTTATTATGTCGGCCTCGGTGTTTTAAGACTGTTAATTAGCTTTTGCACTAAACATCAACCATGACGTCGCGCGATAAAAAAGATTTTTAAAAAAAGTTAAAAAGACCGATACATTCAGAACTCATTAGAATTAATTCTGATTATGTCGATATCGGTCTTTTTAGACTGTTAATTAACCTTCGCACCAAACAACTTTGAAGTCATACAGTTTTGAAATAGCCGATCAACGTCAGTATCTAAGCAACTACGCACCTACCCCTCCCCTCAACAATTCACAAATCACAACAGTCAACTAATAACAGGCCTTACAACTCAGTGAACTCAGAGTTAATGCTGGATGGGCAGATGTACAGTAGCTTAGAAACTGGCCATTATCCGAACTAGCAGATATATTATTTTTTTTTACTTTTCGTACACTCAGCCCTTAAACGGTTGATTAGTACTAATTGTGTCCGCATCGGTAACTACAAGGTGTGTACTAAATTTCGCACTAAAATTCAAGCGCGACAATTAACAATGAAGAAATAGTAGATCTGTTCATCAGCTCACCTTTCGAAACTTAATTAACTCAGAGGCAGTTAATTAAGCGAGACGGATATGCTTTTTTCCATTGTTGATTTCGTCCTCGCATTAGCTCTGGAAATAGGAGATATGTTAATTTTTTCATCTTTCGAACGCGGAACTCTGTTAATTAGCACTAATTGTGTCGGCATCGGTATTTTACACATTCATATCAGATTTGGCACCAAAAATTGAGTAAGACGTCTCAATGATGTTTAGATTGCCCAACTCGCAAAAGAAAAACAGCAATGATCCATGAGGAGTCATAGATGGCAGCTGAAATAATGAACGATTGACCTTCTGCGTATGCACGTGCGTTTTCAAGTTTTTGTACATAGCAGAAGGAACCAGTTATATTATTTATTACACTCATTTTGAAATCACTGGTGGTCTCTGTAATCTGATTAGCTCTAATTGGTGCGATTTATTCACGAATCGCACCATTTTTTGCTTTAAATCACATCTTTTTCCCAGCCAATCAGCAGGCCACACTAAAAACAAAAAAAACCAATCAGATCTCAAGGCTTGTTTTAAGTAACCAATCAAATTGCAGGAAAATGATAGACAAAGAGTATCGTATGGCAAATTTTGCTACTTTTGTTTCCAAAATTCTTACTTTTTCCCCCCAAAAAATGGAGGAGTTTAATTTCAAACCGGCTCAGTACTGCATCAATAAAATATTTGAACTGACCAAGTCCTGCATTTGGTCTATTACAAAATGAATGTAATAAAGTGGTAATTGAACCTCGTGTCGTGCAATTTTGGTCTGAAATCATACTTGTGTTTTCAAATTGAACTCGCGCTGCGCGCTCGATCGATTTTGAAATCACGTGTATGATTACAGCACAAATTGCTCTCCACTCAGTTCAATTACCATTATTTATCGCCTTGAAAAGGGGGGCCGGGGCCGGGGCAGGGGGACTTTGAGGAGAACACAAGGGGAACAGAGAAATCTGTAGCCAATGAGGGACACCAGTCATTATTTATCGCCTAATAAGGGGGGGGGGGGAGAGGCGGAGTCGGAGAACTTTGGGGGGAACACAGGGGGAACAGAGAAGTTTATAGCAAATGAGGAGCACCAGTCATTATTCATCGCCAGGGAGGAGGGTTGCAGAGTCGGAAGACTATGAGGAGAACACAGGGGGAACAGAGAAGTCAAAAGCAAATAAGGGGGAAAGGTCATTATTTATCGCCCGGGAGGGGATGGGGCGGAGTCGGGGGACTGAGGGGAGGGGCATTAGAATACTACAGGGACTCATGGAAGGGATCAGGTAAATACGAAAAATTACGATGCTCCGATCCCCGCCCGGCAATAAATAATGACCGCTCCTTTGTTTCTAGAAAAGGTCCTTCCTCCGATACATGTGTGGCTTGTGTACAAAACTAATGAGCCTACAAGAGGAGATGGGCCGCCCATGATGAAAAAAAATCTAGATTTTCTTTCGTCACCAACTTACCCTCTTCAATCGTCTGTGCTGATTAAGTATTTTCCCCACGCACTTCATTCCTAATAAAGTTTCTGAAATTTCTCGACGAGCGGGCTGCTGACCGACCCACGACCGACCCACGGCCGACCGCTGACCCTAAAATTCCGGGGCTCAAATCCTTGTGAAAGAAGAGGGGAGGGGTTAAGACATTTTTGCTCTCCTTCGGTCATTTCTTCGATCTTTCTTTATCAGACGACTGGGATTTAAGATTTACCATCGCTCATCATATTTACGGCAATATTGTTTTCAAGTTTAAAATGAAGTCTGGAGGAAATAAGACGCTTCTGCAAGGTGCAATCAATCATTTTATTTGCGCCTTTGTTTTAACCTGACACCAAAGAGGAATCATAGTCATACTCAGTCAGGGACTGGACTAAGGCGAATCCCTGGAATTAACCTTAGAGTTTAAAAGACCTTTTAAGCGAAGTGATGAAGTAATCATCATCTTTATAGAAGTTGTTTCTCTGTTTGGTGTAATATTCAATGAACTCTTCTCTGGTTATCTCAACAGGCTGCAAGAAACAACAAACAAAACAATGTCGTTTCAATACAATGAAGGTCATATTCACCTGTTTGCGTTTCGCCTACATCTGAAATTCTGGCTTTCTTACATGTAAGACCCAAAATATTTTAATGTTAGTCTTCTGTAGAGGCTCAGAACTGCCTATGGCTCAAAGCAGAGGCATTAATAGTATCATGCACATCTCGAATAGTCAGCAGACAATTTAAGGTCTCTTCGCTGGTGATTCGCCCCTTTAAAACTGGTCACCTTTAGTTTCAAGTGGCAATTTGCTACTGTTAGTCAATTTTCCACGCAATTATCACGTGATTAGAAGTTTGTTTGAAAACAACTTGCGTTTTTTCACGTGTTTCGCAGGCACGGGGCAAAGTCAAGATAGACAACAACCAAATAATGTTGTTATGCCCGCGTGAAAGCTTTTGAAATATGATGCTTTTTTCTTTGTTCTCTATACTTTCACTTGTTGGAAGAACGGAGACCGCAAAATTTCTTTAGTTAGGTTGTGAAGGAGACTACGGGAGGCGCGGCAGCAATGCAGTTTATTAATTTTTGCTAACAATTTTTCAGACGCCAGTGGCAATTGACATAAGATACGTGTGTCTGAGTTGATTTCAGATGAAATGGAAGGTCTGCTCCCCATTGACGGATATCTTCATTGGGAAATACTTTTTCTTTAATAAAAAAGCAATCATCAGTTACTTAGTGCCCAATTTCAACACCCTCCCCCCCCCAAAAAAAAAAAAAACTCACTGCATTCGTAGCATGCCTATGTTCGTGCTTGACAAAACTTTGTACTCGAGGGATTTTTTTTTGCCCTGGGACTTACCCCACCCTTTGCATCACTGTCAAAACGAGCCAAGTACGCATCGAAGCTTGTACCTTCATCTGCGCTGTAATACCTACGACATGAGCAGGAGGTTAGAGACCACCATGGATACGGGGAGAGGGAAGTTTGTGTGGGGGTGGGGTCGGGGGCGCATGCAACTAGGGCCTTCAAACCTTAAATGTCAAAAAAAAAAATCTTTTATGCAGCTTTTTTATTCATGACTAATACTGTAATGGATCGCGGCATGTTAGCAGCACGGTAGGTAAAGACCGCATACTGGCGACAGTCTTGCCTCCTTTCACCCCTAAATTAACTTGAGTGTTTTGTTCCATTCTTCCATTTTCTCCTTTGTTCCTTCCATCCTCCTCCCACATCGTTTTTCCACTCCCTCTATCTTTAATTACCAGACGTGCAGACATCATTTCTTATCTGAGAGGGGGAGGGGAAACGATCGAATGATTTAAGGGGGGATCATATGGTTTCCAGGGGAAATGGAGGTGGATCAGCCTTCGCCAATAGTACAAAGAAGGACCAGAGAAAATTGACTGCCGATGAGGGCGATCATTAGGATACTACAAAGAATTAGGTGAGGAACGGATTAATTTTATTGGACCGAGCCAAAAGCCCCTGACCCCCTCCCCTCTAACCTGGCGGTATATAATGTTACCTCCTTGTCTACCCAATGTTTCACACAGCCTGTGAGAATCTTGATTAATAGCAATTTAACCTTCTTGTATTCTAATCTTTTCCTTAGCAGTCAAATGCGAGAGAAAAGAAAAATCAAACTTACTTTGCGATGTCCTCTGACTTAAGAACTCCGTCCTTACAAGTGTCCATCTTGTCAAAAGCTTGTTTAACAACTTCTAAGCATCCAGGTGACAATGAATTCTCGTTTCCCTTAAAATTGGGAAAGGAAAGAACAGCTTAGTAGTAAATAACATTAATCGAGCTAAAATTCCTTAAAATGTAAATAGTGAGGGGCCGTCTTACCTTTTGTAATGTCACTCCCAGAAGTTACAGAAATGTTCTTTTTTCAAACGAAATAAGTCAACCTCGTTCCGATGCCTGAAGTAAGAGATGGGATCCTGGAAACGAGGTTGTGTTGTTATATGTTCCTCCAAAGCACAAACGCAATGTCATCGTCGTACAATTCCTTCTTCTTTTTTTTTTCAATTGAGGAAATCAATGTTGGAAAATTTTCACGACAATTTTTTTTGCAGAAACGGGAAGTGACACTGTGTGTATGAGGAAATAAAGCGTGCTACTAACAACCTGTAAAAAAACCCTCGCCTGAAAGAGGGCGGGGGGGGGGGACGGAAGGAGTTTGGTTTTGTCACCATAAAATTCACCTGATCCCCCCATAAGGCTTTGGGATATTCTTATGATCCCCGATCATTGGCAGTCGACTCGCAGTAAATTTTTTATAGTCTCTCCTTTATAGTCTGTTGGCGACGACTGTCCCCCTCCCCCCCCCCCCGCTCCCCTTAAAAACCTCCTCTGAACTCCCCTTCTTCCCAAGCGATAAACAATGACCTGTCCAAAAATAAATCCAGAATAGTTGAGTGCTATGAGGCAAGCTTAAAATTTCTTTCCTTTGCTGCTTACAGACAATGGATTCCATTTTGCTGGGCGTATGTTTAACTACAGATCACAGATGACATCCAAAGGTAGATGAATAACAGTGACAAATTTGCCTCCACCTCGTTTTGCACAAATTTTTTCTTATTACATTATGACACCATTTTAAGTCGGAATTTATAATCTCACTTACTTAAAACTGAAACTGATTTCTTACCCGTATCAAAGCCAAAAACGCCTCGTAATCAATGCCTCCCTTTTCGTCTTTGTCAATTTCATTGAAAAGCATCGTAGCCTCCTGAAGATGCGCAAGTAAAATTCAAATGATGTAAAAAAATGAAAAACAAAAAATAAGAATAACTGAGCAACGCAAGGAAACATCACACGGATGCAATGAGGACTGAAGTAAAAACAAGCACAAGCGCAGGAAAACGCGAGGGGCCCAATGATGCTTGGTTTTATTTTATATCTGATTAAGCGAGTGACGCGGGGTTGTCGAGACACAGTCCAAGAATAAAAGTAACCGATTAAATTGAGTTCAGGACAAGGCTCGACGCGCGATTGAAAAGCGCTCCACTCCTTTATCTTTAATTAGATTGATATATCACGAAATTTAAGGCAAATGAAAGGTCTCTGTTTTCTTGGTTTTACTCTGGCGATTCTAAAGATGCAAGCTCTCTGGTTGGTAAAGGATCGTTTCACGGCTTCAATCATCCATGCAAAGTGACCTTGATAATAACACAGTGAATTTTCGGAAGGCTCAAAAAGTTGTTAGTATTTCAACAATAAAAAAAACAAATTAAGGAAAACGAAAAAAACACACAGTTGCTGTGATGAGAACTTTAGCTTACTAATCAGACAAATCGAACTCAGTAAAAAAAAAAAAAACTATCGACTCTCACAAGCGCATTTAATCTGCAATAATTTATTTACGAAAAATTATCAACATTTTAAAAATTAAAATGGTATTTGAATTTGACTGGCAAACTTGAGGAGCAGAATATGCTCTCAACCAACTTTTATTTTGCGACTGACCTCGGGTATTTCCTGTTATACGCAGTTGAATTCCCCCCCGCGCCCCTCCCCCCCTACCCACCCCACCTCTTCGAACCAAGTTAACTGCACGTAATACCAACCTCATTGGTTAAACCAGCTTGGAAATTACGCAGACCCTCAGTCAATTTTTCCAGAGACAATGATCTGTTGTCGTCGTCATCAAGTCTGCCAAATTCCCTGAGCATAGGATGGAAAAAAAAACATTTGAATTGTTAAACGGCACAAGCACTAAAAGAATGTGAGGTTTGTTGGCCAACTCTTCAACTCCCAGAAGTGATTAACATGTAACCTCTCCCTATGACATCCATACATTTTCCATAAAACAGGTAATTAAAACACTCAAACTTATCAGGTAAAATTTGTTATTGTGATCTAACACCACATTCTCACACCTATTTCACAGGGAAATGTGTTGCGACTGGAGGTTGGGAGAATTAACGATTAGATCTTGAGGGGATGCTGATGGGGGGTGGGGAGAGGGTCTCCTGCTACACAGGGGTGGAGACAGGAGTCAAAGGTGGAGGGAGGGGAGGACGAGGCTGTCGATAGGGTATATATATTCTAGGGTACCGTAATGATTTAATTTAGCGCCCTCCTTCCAATAAGCGCCCCCCCCCGAATTCGTTTTTGTCAAAAAGCGCCCCTATTCCTAGCTTTTAGGCGCCCCTATTGAGTAAGCACCCTCATTCTAATTAGCGTCCCTATACCAAAAAACGCCCCCAATATGTTTTAGTAATGCACTGTTAAAGTACATGTACATTGAGATCAATCATGGTCCATCTTCCTTTAATTGGTCACTTAAAGCCTCACGACAAAAAAGTGGTTTGCGTCTCGGTCTCTTAACTTTTAAGTCGCTGTGAGTGCGCAGTTCCTTCAAGCGAAAGATTTCGTTCTAAAATTTTGCGACGATTGCTTGGCGCCCTGTTTCGAATAAGCGCCCTTCCCTTGAGATAAAAAAAATAAACAGAGTATGCATCAGGAGGTGTAAGTCCTAGAGTTTCATAGGTCTATTTTGACTTTACAGGGTCGTCTAATGATAACATCTCTTCAAAAAAAGGACTCGAGATTCATCAAGAAAATATATAATGTTGTAATATCATTTTTTAATTGACTGCCAATTAACTACCAATGAGAAAGGGGGCCAGGGCCAGGAATATTACGGAGCCTCATGGGCGGATCAGGGAAATTTCATGGTGAAACAACCAAAAACTCCTCACCCCCCTCCCCTGAAAAAATAGTGACCGGTCTTCAATATTTTTTTTTATTGTTAAAGAGTAAATCAAACCCTTTGTATTGGCAACCTGCAACCTTTAACTTACTTGCCCAGTTTGGACAATCCAGTGATTCCCCTTTTTGCGCAAGCATCTCTGACTTTCTGGATGATCTCTTCCATCTCTTTGGTTAAAACAGCCAAACTACACTGCAGGCATGTGCACAAAAGATTATAACCTCAATTTTTCGTATAATTGCTCAAGTGATCAAAAGAACGCGCGCATGCTGATTGGTCGTGAATCATCATGTCATGTCATTCATTCATAATCTCATTCATTTACAATTAGATTGATCACCCATAATATCACAGACAGAATTGGACTTAACTCTGTCCCTTGACATTCATGGTTCAAGTGTACGCGTTCCTGCAAGCTAATATGGATTATTTTTTTCACTTATATTTTTGATTCGCGCGACGGACTTTGCCGAAAAAGAGGGACTACTGGTAATCTAATGCGAAGTTCGCGGTTCAAACCATCGTTTTCTGCATTTCAAAACATAATTTATTTCGTTTCGTGCTGACGAAGAATATTTTATTGTATCTTTCAATCAAAAGAATAAAAACTCTTCAGAAAATGAAACAATGGCTACCCTCATTAATAAGCACTGGTCATAACGAAAGCAAAAATTTGTAAATGTGTGTGTAAGAAATCTACCGCACTTTAATTACGCCGTGCGAGGCTACGAAACGCCTGTAATACGTGATTTAACAAAAAGTCTGCAAAGCTTTTGTTATGTGGTGGATTCCAACCTGACTTTGCAAGTATCTCGACTGTGAAAATACAAAATAAATACGTAACACTGCTTGGATAAAAAAATAAATGAAAACTTCTTCTTCGAAAAAATGTTACATGAAAATGACATTTATTAGAATTAAGAGAACTGCCAACAACTGTAATGTCCACATTCTACTGGGATAGCAGAGATCAAGGTCAACAATTTCTATTAAAAGTTTGATGATATACCATGAGCAAACTAGACCATTCAAACGTGCATTGCCCTCATTCTTCTTCTTGTTCGTTTGGCTTACTCTAAACTTGTTTACGGTTATCCTAAACTATGCAGATTGTTGAGTAAAACGCTAAAATGGGAAATAAATGGTCAACTTACCGAGTTCCTTCAATGCCAAACGAGGTTGCACAAATTACTTGGCAGTAATAAAGTTTGCAAGCAGAACCACAATATATATAATACATATGGCGTAGCCCTTCCCATGGGATGTGCTTTGAAAGAGTACTTTTATTGTTAGTTTGAAGCTTAACTAATTTCTTTACATTGTCATCATCCATTGTAAGAGTCAAAATAACCACGTAAATTCATTATATATGCGGCCATTATTGTTCTTATTATATATTTACGATCTTCCAAATTGCTTATCAAATTGTAAACCAAGAATGTACGCTGATGACACGCACCTTACATATGCGGGCAGTAATCTTGAGAATGTTCAGTTTTGTCTAAATGAAGACCTAGCAAACGTTTTCAACTGGCTACAAGCAAACAAACTTACATTGAACATGACCAAAACCGAATTCATGCTAATAGGGTCGAAGCAGAGACTGAATACTCTCACGGCTTCACCAACAATTACAATGAACAATACTCAAGTCAGCCAGGTTACAGCTACGAAATCGCTTGGTGTAATAATAGACGATAAACTCGATTGGCATAGTCACATCGAAAAATTAACCAAAAAGATCGCCTCTGGTATCGGGGCCCTAAAGCGAATTAGGCACCTGATCCCAGCATCAACCTTACAACTCGTTTATCAAGCCTTAGTAAAACCTCACTTTGATTACTGTGACATTGTTTGGGGTAACTGTGGGAAAACGCTACAAGACAAACTGCAGAAATTGCAGAATAGAGCAGCCCGTGTGTTGACATTCTCTAACTATGATGCTGATGCAACTGAGCTACTCGAGTTTTTAAGGCGGAAAAATCTTACACGCCAGCAGGAAATTCACAAAGCCACCATGATGTTTAGATGTCTGCACGGGCTAGCTCTAGAGTATCTGTGTTCAAAGTTTACGTGGCGTGACTCTGCTTATGACCTCAGGGACTCTGAAAATAAGCTCAATGTTCCCTTACCGCGCACTAATTATTACCGAAAAAGTTTTAGCTACAATGGCGCCACATTATGGAACAGTCTACCATGCGATATAAGGAACACAGAGTCTCTGGGGGTATTTAAACGCAAGATCAACGACATTCTTTAAGTCTAACGCACGGCACTCACGGAAAACAGCTTTTAGTGTTATAGTATATAGTTTGAGTTTTAAATATTCTAGCGTATCTGATATGTATTTTTTAGGCTGATGAATTGACCGTGTTTAAATAAAAATAAAATGAAATGAAAATGTTTTAAAACAAACGAAAACAATAGGGGAACCAGACTTTAGCTTGGAAAAAAGGCCTTTGTTTTAGAATTGTGTGGAGTTATAGGGAAATCTTTCCATTTAAACGCCAACTCGACATGTTTTCTGAATGCTTAACGTAGCTTATCGAACATTCTGGAAGTTACGGCGGATTTTTGTGCAGAACTATGGCGGATCGTAAGGGTGTAACTTCTCCCAAGGGATATGCCACGTACAATTGTGTTTGCATTTCTATCGTCCACGCCTTTTTAAGTTTATGAAAGAGGCGGCAAATGAAAGTTTACGGATACAATGGCGAAAACGTGTTAAACGAGAATCCTACCAAATACCTACACGTCCCAAACGCTGCGGCTTGCGAAAATTTGAAATTTAAGGATCAGTCTTTTAAATTAACCTAAAACAGTCAAAATTTGAAAGATGAAAGTCCTTCCGTATTGCAAAACCGGTGCACAGCAGTCTAAAGATAACTCTGTAATAGCGGTCGCTCCGATTACGTAAGGACCTTCTCTTAGAGTCGCTGCTCGTCCCTGTCAAATGGGGCTTTGCATGAAGTTATTACAGCTGATAGGATAAACATTATTTTATTGTATTTTAAAACTCTAAACTCAGGAATGTGGTCGACTATGGAATTTTTCAAGAATTTACATGGTTTAAGGAACTGTTGTTGAACATTGAAATAAGTACATTTAGTAGAATTCCAGTTGGCATCTTTTTCTTTTAACCTACAACACATCTGAATTTAACTTTGTTAAAAACCATGGAGTCAAAAAAATAAAAAACTTGGCATCAGAAAAACTTCAGAATTAATCCTTGGTTGAAATAATAAAAGTATCATTTAATATTTGATTACCGGTAAATGTTTCTACAAGCATCAAATGCTTCCATTCTACTATGTACAAGAAATGGTCCACTGGCCCAAAGGATGCAATTATTTTAAGAGCTGTCACATAAATTGTCCTGAACAACTTTCTCTTGACCTCCAGCTAGCACTGAACAGTATGCTACAGAACAGTAATAGTTCTAAAGAATGCTGTGCAAGGTGTGTCTTATATCAATTTATGACAGAAATGAGGAATTTCTTTAGATTTTGTAAGCATTTTTCATCATGAGGATGAAGTAGGCATCGTTGTCTATCGAGGCACTGACACCAGCGTAGTAGTTCATGAATTCGTCACGAGTAATCTGGAAGAGTAACAGAAAAAGGGAAGTTTTAAATGTTTAGCAATTTCTATTACACAGCCAAGCTTCAAAAGTGGATCTTTCAACCCAGAGCCAAGTGCCATACACTGAACTATCACATTTAGTGTAGGAATCTTTACTCTATCAGATAAGAAAAACCAGGGCTTTCAATCAAAGCCAGTTACCAGCAATTCCAAGCGTTTGAACTTTTGAAGACTGGTTCGCTCAAAATCCTTTTTCCTCAGCCCCCCCTTGCCCAAAAACTGTGTTCAAATGCCCTACCCAAGTGTCGGTTTTGATGATAATTTTTTCATGAAAGGCAAAATTAGAAACCACAACTTTCTACGCATTAACCAGGCTTTAAAACCCTAGACCAGTTATCATCTTAGCAATTCACATCAGAAAATGAACTACTTACCTTTACATACCTTTGTACAGATATAACACTTGCATACCACTGGAAATACTAGACACTTTGGGTTCAAATTCCCCACCCCAGCCAGCTAAGTTTCAAATTCCTCTCCTCTCAGGCATGGATGATGGTCAAATGCCCATGGGTTGCTTAGAGGGGGAGGGGGGGTGGGGTAAGGGGGGAAGAAATGTTAAAGCTTCAAATTGATTGGTGCATTAGTCTAAAAGTAGACTCATGTTTTTCTGCTTTTCCCTATAAGACTATCACTTTAATTTTGAGATTACATGCAACTACCATATAGTAATTTACTGCACTGCATACATGTAACATGAAAAACTCTGAAAAGAGGAACAACAAACCCTCTTATATCTTACCGTTCCATCCACTTCATTGCTGCCCACTTCAAATGTATTTAAAAATTTTTTAAAAATCTGCTCCTCTGTCATTTCTCCATTCTGGTATTTAGGGTGCATCTTCACATTATAAACTCTGAATCAATTTTGATAATAAAATAATCAATATTATTATTCTGACAACAAAAATAACAAACAGTGTTGAAAACAAATCTCTTGGTCTCTGATATATTTAACTTAAATTCTCCCAGATGAGGTAAATTTTGGAATTTTCCTCCACCAGCAGAGAGGAAAAATCAAAGAATTATTATTCTGTTTAAAATATAACTGGCTTTTCTTTTGACCATGAGTTGTCTCCTCAAAATTTCAAGCAGATACATGTAAGTGATGGAAATAAAGAAAAATATCAATAAGGGGATTATAAGTTGATCCAATGCCAAATTCTCTCAACTAATATCACAAGAATTAACGACTGTGAATATACAAAAGTCATATATTTGAACTGTGGATAAAGACAAGGATACAAAAAGTGATCTTCGCAGCAATGAACACTACTTGAACAGTAGTGGGTTCAAATCCCATACAGGCCTGAATTTTTTTCAGACCTTATTTTCACCACTGCTCAAGTAGTGTTCATTACTGTGAAGATCGCTTTCATATTCACATCACAAGAATTGTTAGGCAGACAGTAAGGAGAATCACTAATGTGATCTTTGGAGATATTGGAACCAGAGAGTTTCATATGGCTATAAATTGAACTGAAAGATGAGGCCCTTTTAAATATCCAGCACACTTACCCTCTGAGATCATCTATTGTGATAACACTGTCTCCTGTCTTATCCAGTTTATTAAATGCTTCATTAATGATATCTTTCCTGGCTTTGCTCATTGGTGGCTGGAAAATTATGAGAGCAAAGTATAAACCCATAATCCTAAATTTGTGGCATTTAATTAATGTTTACAATAGTAACTGGAGTAAGTGAAGTCCAATTCAGTCTGTAAAGTACGTCCAAGTAAACAGATTTCCATGGATAATGCCTGACTGCACATTCAAACTTGAATTTGCAGCTAAAAAGCAAGCTTTGAACATAAGAGTTTTGGGGTCAAAGAGCCACATTTTAAAGATGTTAGACTGCACATTTGTTTCACTGCCTTACCATTTTGTAGGTGTTTAGGGAGCTTATTCTATATTTAAAGAATTCTTTTTTGTAAGATTATTGCTCTTAGGCAATCACTGATGGTTTTAATACCTCAGTAGTTCTTTAACCACCTTCCGATTTCTAAGAAGTTTCTTTGGCTAATCCTTTTCCTTAAATACAAACTATAATCTTGGTATTGTACCAATACCACATAAACTTACTCTGAGAGCTAGGAGAAACTCATCAAAGTCAATAACACCACTGCCATCCTTGTCAAAGGCACTAAATAACTCCTGTAATTCCTGAGGAAATATTACGGTGTAAATATCCACACAAAAGCCATTTACATCATGCATGATAAGTTTTATACCATAGGCATGTTTATAATTCAATGATTCTCACAGGAAGAAATAATTGGTAATTTTTTAAGGTCTCTATCACAATTTTTGCATATTGTCTACAAAGGTTTTATTCTGTCATACTACACTGTATGTACAATTTGACTGAGTGAGACAACCAGTCAAGGAAATATTTGGGTCACGGTGCTGCCCCCCTACAGGGATTTTTATGCAATTTTAAATGAGGCTGTTTGTGCCATACAATAACTTTAAATTATTGATGAACGACCAAGTCAAGTTTTTATTATTCTATCCCTATAAAGACTGCTGTAAGTGAAATTATAATTATTTAAAGCAGCCTGTGTGGGATCAAAGCTGTCAAGATGAGCTTGTATGTCTGCTCCAGTGGCCAATCAGATCACAGGATTGCCATCTTGAGGACTGAGCAATAAAATGAATTGTAATGGATCATTTCTTTTTCACATCTTAAAAATATATGCTTGTATATTTTGGGACAGATGTCCATATATTATATTGTATATTATACGCTTCTTGGTTGCTAATGCAATCACTTTCTCCTTAGCTATATATTTTGTGTTATTGCTTTATTACTCTTTGCTGGCCAGACCTGTATTTCAGTTATTTATACTGCAAGAGGTTTTAATAAACATAACCACAATCAAAGAGTTTATTAGGTAACCAAGTGTGGGTGGCTGTGTATGACAACCTTTCAGGTGACTTAACTTAAGCTTTACTAGTTTTGCAAAACAACGATACAAAGTAGTATAGAATGCGTATTGAAGGAAAACCCTGCACATGACTTGCTTCCCCAGCTTAGGGCTACAAAAGTACCTTAGGATCCAAATAGAGGCCGTATTCACGCATACCCTTCTTGAATTCAGAGAAGTCTAAAGACCTATTTCTGTCATCATCCATAATTCTGAAAACTCTGAAAGAAAGGAGAGTAGCAAAGTTAGCATATGTCGTACACAAAGTCGATGATTTTAACGACGAGCGCAGACACTGAGCACTTCCTGTTAACATTCTGTAACAGCGACATAGAACTTCAACCCTTTAATTTTATAAGACTTTTTCTATCGACATCTGTCCAATTACAAAATTAAGCAGTGCTGCACAAAAAGAATTTTCCGGAAAGAAACTGTTTATGCTACACAATTACAAAGAGATGTTCATGTATGGCTAGTAAACACAGATCATTTTATCAATTTTTTACGTCAGTAGAGGCAATTGAAACTCAAATACGCCTATTTTTTGAGAAACGTAAGCTTCAGAGGAAAAAGTGATGGTCTACAACTTTACTTGCAAAAGCCAACTGAAATACTAGAGCGGCTTACGCAGGTTGAAATCAACCAACTAAGTCTCAATCATACCTTCCAATTCCTTTAATGCCCGCTGAACCTCGACTTAGGCATTGTAGTCTCAAACGTTCAATCGGATCTTGAGAACCTTTAGAACCCAGCATTTTTTTACATTTCTGTCTCATTTGCGCGTCTGATCTGGCTGTTGCAGCCATGTTTCAATCTCTATTGTGCGTAACAAATATGGCGCCCTTTGC